CTCTCTTTTGATTAAATTTTTCATTCCACTACAAAAAAAAAAAATAAACCTTTTTTCTCCCATTAGTTATATTATTTTTTGTTCAATTTCTTTCATATGGATAAGAAGCCCCTCTTAGTTTCGGTTTCTAACTCTGCCACTGTAGAGTTTAAAACTGTGTCAAGCAGCAATGGTAACGCTAGTTACAAAAGTTGATTTTCTTTTGTTCAAACGGTCAACGATTTCTACCATGTTAAGATTGATTCTTTTCACACCAACACCTTCTCACTACACGTATAAGACATAAAGAAGGCTGGAAGCTGTGTACAAAAGAGAAGGAAACTAGGATTCTAGATTGGTAAATTGCTTTACGAACCACTGTAACTACCAATATTGAGACAAGGTAAACAACAATATGTAAATCATATTATTTGGGTCATGTCACTTATACATAGTAAAAACTAGTTTTTTTTTGGGGCATTTTGATTCAGGTCCAAAAAATTCAGCTGTTTTTGAATTGGGTCCAATTTTATTTGATTTTCTATTGCACCTGTTTTGCCCCTCGAAATTTTTTTTTAAAATTCTTTAAATTTGAATTTTTAAAATTTGAATCTTCAAATACCTTTATCTACCTGTTTTCTAATTAAAAAGACATTATTACAAATTTTATAAGTTTATAAAAAATTAAAAGAAACATTGCTAGAGGTAGATAAAAAATTTGTGATGTAGATAGAATCTATGATAGAGGTAGCCTACGAACAAAAACCTATTGTATAGATAGATAATACAAAATAATCTATGATACAGATAGACTATGAACAGAAACTTATTGTATAGGTAGATAACTCAGTTAATTTGTGATATATAGGTAGATAAACATAATTAATCTTAGATAGATTATCAACAAAATATGTAATATATAGGTAGATAAATACAATTATTCATGATACATGCACAATATAATATAAAAAGATAAAAAAAAAAAAATAAAAAAATAAAAAAAAAAAGGAAAAGTGATATAGGTAGATAAAAAATTAAAAAAAATCGTGAAGAAAAATGATAATGAGGGAGGAAAAACTAAAGAAAATGCTAATTCGATAGAACTTCAAAGTTAAAAATATATATATAAAAATGAGAATGAAGCCAAAAAAAAAAAAAAAAGAGACGAAGAACCCAAAGCACAAGATTGACTAATACAATTTTTTTTTTTTAAACCAATCAAATCATCCTTATGAAAGGAGGAGCAGAAGAAGAATATTATGGTAGAAGACTACTGGGAAAAATAACGGAGGAAGAGAAAGATATTGTGAGGGAGAAACAAGAAAAGAGAAATGAACAATTTGGGGAAGGAGAAGAAAAAAACGAGATTTAAATCCCTAATCCTATAATTAAGGATAAGATTAACATTAATCACAAACTTAAAAAAAACAGTAATTACTTAATTGGTCAATTTAAGGGTAAATTTGGCAAAAAAATACAAATAAGTTTATGTAGATAATGAATCACTGGACCTAACCTAAAAATTAAACAAAATTGGACTATAACTAATAATGGCTCGTAAAATTGGACTCATATTAAGTTTCCCCTTTTTTTTTTCAAGGAAATGGATGCTCTTCAGACCCATTTTCATCTAATCCACTTAGTTCGGGATCCGAATCATTCAAATTTGATCTAATGGCTACAAACAGGGGGCCCATTTAAAAGTGATAATAATTATAGCCGTTGGATCAAATTTGAATTGCCTGGATCCCGAACTAGGTGGAAATGGATTCGGAGAGGATCCATTTCCTTTTTTCACGGTCAAATTTGGCTTTTTAACCATAATGGTCATTGAGATTTCCATAACTCCTCATTTTGGTTCGTGATAGAATTGATCTCTGGGATTGTCCATCATCAATCATTTTGATCATTCCATGAAAAATGTCCATTAAATGATAATAAATTGACAAAAATACCCTCAATTTTTGTCAACTCATTTTGGCCTATTGTTCATTGAACTGAGGGTATTTTTATTATTTTGATCCTTATTTAATATAATGTTTCACAGAATTACCAAAATGATTGATGGTTGATAATCTTAAGGACCACTTCTATTGATTTCAAATCTCAGAGACCAAAATGATGAGTTACGCAAATGTCAAAGACCTTTTTGGCTAAAAAGCCATCAAATTTTTATCAAACAATCATTTATCTGGGTATTATACCGACCACAATTGCGGATCTTCAAGATCTGGTTGCTCCTCTTGGCAGATAATAAACTACAAAGCCTTATTTCTAGTTCATTTAGCAAATTGCCAAGCTTGCAAGTCTTGAATTTACCTCGATCCAATTTATCTGGACTAATTCCAAATCTTTAGAAGATATCTTGCATCTCAGGTATTTGGATTTGTCATTCAACAAACCAAGGAGAAATTCCAAACGATGGACGTTTCGAAACCTTCTCTGCTGAATCATTTTGTTTCAAATGGTGGACTATGTGGTGCAGCTCGACTCCATGTTCCGCCATGCAAAAGTAGTAAACCAAATTCAAGGAAAGCTATATATATTATAATAGGGATCATATCAGCAATACTATGTTGATGTTTATACTGTAAAAGGAACGTGGAAGTTGCGATAGAGACTGCCATGTTATTACCTCAACTACAAGGGCAAAGAGTTTCATATTTGGAACTTGTTAGGGCGACAAACAGATTCGATGAAAGCAACTTACTTGGCAGTGGGGGCTTTGGCTCCATATATAAAGGAACTGTTGGAGAACAATTCAGAAATAAACAAAAAATAATAGAAATAAACAGAATTTGAAATTCTAATATTTTATTAACCAAAAATATTTGATGTGCAGAATGAAATTATACAATAAATACAGAAACTAATATAAGAATGAAATTATACAATAGTAGAGGCTAGCGTAAAAGCTATGTCCTTCGAACAGTATTTTTGTCTCACTCTTGTGTTTGTGGTTCTACAATGTCTGCTCGACCAGGATTCAACTACCTAATTCTACAACCCGCACTGGATTCTAGAATTCTAGCGAATTTTTGAAAGTACACAACTCTTTCTAAGAGGAAGAAAGATGATCTCACTTGGATATTGTGATTGCAAATATTTGAAAGTACACAACTCTTTCTAATAGCTGTCTTTTAATCAAAACGTTTTTTAATTAATAAATTAATTAAAAAAACTTAATCCGAAAATTAAAATTAATGAATCTGATTAATTTTAAATTCCAAGGGCCCTTCTCTTGATTAATTAATATTAATTGTATCTAGGCTATATTATATTCAAGCCTAATCCACACAACCATAAGGCTCCAAGCCTTCAATCCATTTCCAAATAATCCAAGTTCTAATTACTAAGAAGAAGGAATAAGCCTATATAAAGGCTAGTGAAAAAATACTGTTGCCCAATGTGAGACAAAAGGATCTCAACTCTTACAGGAACACGTTCAGATGGAACATATGTTGCTGTGAAAGTCTTCAATTTACAGATTGAAGGGGCTTTCAAGAGTTTTGATTGTGAATATAAAATGCTACACATATTCGTCATCGAAATCTTATCAAGACCGTCAGTTGTTGCAGCGAAGTTGATTTTAATGTCTTCGTACTGCAATACATGCCCAATGGGAGCCTTGAAAAGCGGCTGCATTCTCAGAAGCATTCTTTGAGCATCCTAGGAGAGGTTGAATGTAATGATAGATGTTGCATCGGTGTTGGAATACCTTCATCATTGTTACTCCATACCTATTGTCCAATGTGATGTGAAGCCGAGCAACATAATCCTAGACAATAATATTGTGGCAAATGTTGCTCATTTCAGCATTGCAAAACTCTTGGGGCAAATGCGATTCTATGACCTGAATTATGACCCCTAGCCACAATTAGGTATATGGCTCCAGGTAATGTACTCTTGCTAGTGTAAAAAAAATAAATTTTATAAATGTTGTCCTTAGTTATGAAAAAAGGCAAAGTTATAGTTTCCTTGTCGTGATAGCCAAAACTCACAAATATAACTTGCAGAGTTTAGAATGGAAGGTATTGTTTCGACGAGATGGGATGTGTATAGTTTCGGCATTGTACAGATGGAGGCATTCACAAATAGGAAGTCAACTGATGAGATTTTTGTTGGGGAACTGAATTCAAAGTAATGGGTTGCAAGTTCGTTATTTCCGGATGCAATTGTCGATATTGTGGATTGCAGTTTACTTGGGACAAAAGAAGATCATGATTTCTTGACGAAGAGGAATTGTTTTATCCTCCATTTTGAGTTAAGATCTAGCTTGTGGTGCAGAATCCCCAGAAGAAACTAAAAGGATTAATATCCAAGATGCTGCAGTCACGCTCGAGAAGATCAAGATCGAGTTTTTGAAGGACAGTGGAGGAGCACAGCTCCAGTTCTCGTTATTGTTGTGGTGGTTTATACCATGCACGAAAACTGCATTAATTTTTTCTTCAGATTATGTTGAAGGAATCGAACCGTGGACCTATCCTAATCCTTCCTTGTCCTACCCTCTCACGTCGGTTGGGCTAATCAAATTATCATAAGAGCTTCAGTATTGTGTATTGCGTTTCTCGTTTTCTACATATAGATCAATGATCTCCAAGTTTCAAATTATGTTTACATATACAACTTTTTCTTTCGAGTGTTTTTTCTCCATTATAAAAACCAACTTCCCAAGATATGACCAATGGATCCGACAATAAGTAAAAATCACTTGTGCATATAAGCTAAATTGATGAACACGTACAACTGTGATCGTGTGAAATGTCTTCGACAAGGGCATGAAGAAGAATGAAGAATCCAAAATTATCACTGCGAAAATGAGTTGGACCTCCTCAAAGGAGTAGGAGTCACAGAAGAGCAATTACTTACAAAAGTCCAACAACCCTCCACTTGCTTCTTGCTTAACTTTCCGACATGTCTTCCCATTGATGATGATGAAGAACAACCGCCTTTTCGAAAACTATTCTTGAAGCTCCACACTTTCGTCATAGACTCCAACCGCAGCAGCAGCCACCTCTTCTTTACATTGATCTACGTTGAATTTCCATTTCGACATTAGCATTTTCTCTCATTCCATCCTGATATTATACATAATAAAAATTACAACTGAAGTCTATTATATTTTAGAAATGTATCTAAGTATCCTTAATTTGAAGGAAGCTTTGAATTTATTATTTCCACTATAAGAAGCTGAATAACTAAAACTAGCTATGACTAACCTGACTCTGAGTTGATGTTGATGCCATTGGTGGAAGTGACCCCGTGTATGAATAATGTCCACAAGAAACTTCAGTCGCTTCATTCTTCATCCCGAGATCTCTCAGCCGGTTCAGCTCAGGCAAGATGACTGTACTGAGATCTGGTCTATCTTTCTTCCTCAGCTCACAACACTTCAAAGCTAGTTTTGCAAATGATAAAGCCTCTTCAACTGGCCAATTTGTCACTGCAGGATCAAGCATCTGAGCAAATGTACCTTTCTCGATAGCCTTCTCAACTTGGTGGGATAAACCCATTGCAGGCCTTGCGGTAATGATCTGCAATAGCATTACTCCTAAAGAATATATGTCTGATTTCACACCCAACATTCCTGTTTGTTGATACTCCGGGTCAATGTAACAAAATGTACCAGCTGCTGCTGTCATCCGGTATTGAGTGACGCTATCAGCTATAGATGGTGGAACTAGCCTAGCCAAACCTACATCCGCAATCTTGCTTACATAGTTTCGGTTTACGAGAATGTTTCCTGGCTTGAGGTCACGATGCACCAGAGGCTCGGGTTTTGTTTGGTGAAGGAAAAGGAGGGCAGTGGCAATTTCAGCAGATATTTTGAAACGAATTGCCCATGTGATTGGAGGAGTGTTGTTCTTGCAGAAGAGGCGGTCTTCTAAGCTTCCATTTTCCATGTACTCGTAAACAAGGCATCCATACTCGGGGCAGGCGCCTACTAGGATAACCATGTGTGGATGCCTAATACGGCTCAAAACCTCAACCTACATTAAAAAATAGATATTGAAAATGAAGTTTTGGACAAATGATACATGAGAGCGTTTCCATTTCGCAATCTTCTACTCACTCAAATCAAAGTATAAACTTATTTTCATGCTTTAAGTTAGAAAATTGAACAAAGAAGATAGTTTTACCTCTTGTTGGAATTGCCTCTGCCCCTGTGATATGTCCGGCCTCAAGACCTTGATGGCAACAGGAGTGTGATCAAGAATCGCTCTATAAACTGGTCCATAACCACCTTCTCCAATTTTGTTTGAATTGTTAAAGTAATCTGTTGCAATTTCAATCTCTTCAATGGTGTATCTTCTGTACCGAACTTGATTGTTCACCAAAGCATCTATAGCTGTCCTGCTATCTTCAGCTTCCTGCTTCGCTTTCCTTTCTGCAATTTTTCTCTTCTGTGTTTCCAGATCTGCTAGCCTTTGTGCCATCCGTGCTGCTTCCGTTGCAGCTTTGCTCTTCTGCCTTTCCATATCTGCCATTGCCAGCGCAGCCTCTTCCCCTAGCTTGGCTTCCTCCAACTTGCGCTCTTCTGACGTCCTCCATTTTTGCATCTCCCACGCCTGGACAAAAAAATACAAAATTTCGGGTTCGAAATGGAATAAACTGCTTTCCAGATCATTGGAAAATATACCTATCTTTCAATGTCTTACCTTCTGTTTAGCTGTAGTAGCTTCTTTGCAAGCTGAAGTATACATGTCCATGGTTTGCTTCAGTTCGATCCTTAATCTCCTCATTTCGGCATCCAAGCCAGACTGTAACTTATGCAACATGAGTTTCAGTTATCTATATAAGTTCAAACCATAGAAATGGACATGGATTGTGATGCAAGTAATTGTCAGTATTCACTTTTATCTGTTCTTTATACGTTGAACTTACTGGGGTTTGCGAGTTGGAAGAGTTACCAGAACCTTCATTATCTGAACCATTTGATTGGAAACTAAACGGCCCTGAGAGATCACTGCAACCTGATGCAGAATTCCGATGAGACGAAGTTTCTGACGTGAAGCTTGCAACTGACTGTGTTGGTGAATTTGTTGTGCTGCCAGGCCTATACGCCGTTGGTGGCATTAACTGCTTAAACTCGGTGCTCTTATCCAAAGATACTCTGTCAGAGCTAGCACTGTTTGAGCTCCCGTCACTAAAATGTTTTCTGCAATGTAGGAAAAACTTATTTCTTGTTTCATTGATAAATTTTAGCAAGGATCATTATACAGTAAAAACCCAATTATTCTACTTATCCACCAAGAAAAGAATGCAGCTGCAAAATCTAGATTATATACCTGATGACATCTTCGAAGTCTGACACGCCATGAGTATGGTTGAAAAGCTGTAACTGTAGAGAACTTTTCTTGGGTAGTAACTGCACTACTTCTCGGTGTAACTGCACTACTCCTCGGTGTTTGAGGTCTGCTTGCTGACCGTAGAAGTCTGAATTCTTCCTTTCGATATGACATATACCACACAGGTTTCTGGTACAGATTTGAGTAAGCAAGTAGGCACATCTGAATTCTTAAATTTTCTACATGAAAGACATACCACTCTAGTTGTTAGAAAAAAAAATACATAACATCTCAACTACAAAGGCCTCAAAGAGAGAGAGATCACCTTGTTATAGCATTGCGACTGGAAGCGCCAACAACAATATTGCATATGGAGTTGCTGACAATATAATGAATAAGCGCACTTGGAACATCGATGTCATGGAGGATCACTTCCTTGGCTACAATCTGAAAAACTCATTGCCATCAATAACTGACAACCAGGTAAACTGATCTATTGACATAATATCCAATAATCCAAGTGAATATTTGGCAAGTTGTAGTTATTTAGCCATTCATATATGCACAGACCCAGTTTACGAATTTTAGGGCACACCGACGGCACTGTATTAGGCTCATAAGAGAAATTGAAAAACCAGGGCACGCATAAGGAGTAAAGACTAATTAAAGAACAAATTCAGGTTAAGTGTTCCTGGTGAGCTACATGCAACATTACTCAAGTGAATTAGATTTTAGAGGATTTTTAGCATATGGAAATCAAATGATATTAATCACTAACGCCTTTTCGTGCGCAGAATCCTCGGTAGGGAAGAAAGAAATGTTGCAGCTCGTCTTCAGTTGGCGGGCGACCATCTTTGGAAACTAAACCAACATCCTCTGCAAAACCAAGAACACATATCTCAAACACATACACAAAGTGAAGGTTACATATTCCATGACATGACAAGGTAAATAATGATTTATTAATACCGCCAATACATGTTAACAACAAATTAATCAATGACAAAAATTTCTAACACAAGGTTAATTATTTGTGCTAATGGGTTAAGACATAATCTTCTAAAAGGACGACCCAAGCCACAAGACTCTCCGCTTTATGAGAATCAAGGGGAACAACTATAGTGCGCAGCCTTACCCTTACTTTGCAAGAGTCAGAAGACATAATCTTCTATTTGAACCAAAAAAAAAAAAGGGTGCAGATATATGTTAGGTTAGTTAGCCAAGACAGCGTACCAGTCCCCTTGCATGAGAGTTAGAATCCCCTTCTCCATAGATTAGAAAGGTTTAAATAGAATATTGTTTTTGTCAAAGAAAAACATAAAAATATGGATGCAACCATGATTGACATCCCAATTGATCATCATATAATGTTTTTGATGGTGATCACATCAATAATTGTTAATTATGGTGGTGATAATTATTAGTGTTTATGGTTATGATGATGGTGATGAAGAGACGGATACCTACGAGGATGCAAGCTGCGGCTTCGAACGTGAATGAGGATGCAATGAGAGGTCCTATTGCTCAAAAGATAATCAACTGCCCATTTGACTGCCAATTGGCTGTTCTTGTCTCTGTCAATGGCGACCACGGTGGAGCCGGGGTCCCCGGCCACTGATGATTGTCTGAAAAGTGCCATCAAAAGCCGAGCACCACCGCCGCTACCACGGAGAAGAAAGAAAATGAAAAAAGTGGTGTGTGGTTGTATGTGTTGTACTAAATTTTGATGATTAAATACATGACATGGGAAAACCAACCTTGATTAACAGACTCAAACAAGTTCCTCCTGTCTTTCTAGCATTCAAGCAATCAGTTAGAAGTTGCAGTAGCCAGCCTAGGTTGTTTGTTCTCACAGGTCACCACTTCTAGAATATATAGGTACAACTGAAATCTAGCGACTGCAAATTTGAATTCGTAAAAATAATTAGAGTTTGGTATTGACTACAAATTGTTTCCTTTATTTTTTTAGAAATTTTGAATATTTGAATTTGATTAGACACTGTTAGAGTAATTTTTTTCGGGTGACGTTACCAATTCACTCTATCGTTCGCTATAATAAATAATGTAACAGTATGACCGCCACATTTGCATCACGTTCGCAACGTGAAAACTCAAACATATACGTGACCTTAGGTGCAAGTATAACTTCGCGGCCTGACCGCCATTGAAAAGGTTGTGGCCTTGTGGGTGGGTTGTTTTCAAGTTGTTTTTGCCCAGTTCTAACTCCAAAGGTGTTTCGGTAACATTTCAAAACCGAAGAACCAAAGCAGAATCTGTTTCATTTGAACCAAGGCACCATATGTTGTGGCCCTTTGATGTTCTTAATTAGCAACTAATTAGCTCCAATCTTAGTTGTCACTTTTGACTTACCTATTATGTCACGCCCCAGACCCGAGATCGGTGGAATAAATAATTATGTACTCGGTGCGCGAATAAAAGTGAAAATAATAAGAAAAAAATTAATTATTTCTTATATTTACATTAGAACGTTACACAACAATACAGTCGCACTCTAACTTACATTCCAAAAGTCCTCTATACTCCCCATGAAAGTCGACTACTTTTTCAAATTTCTAATTCAACACCTGTCAAATAATTCATAAGGGGTGAACTACTAGCTCAGTAGGGCAATAACCACAATGCATTTAGCACTGAGAAAGCAATGATGATGCATGAATGTAATGTTTCCTTTTCATTCTATTTTGTTAACCTAGTTAACAGATAATCCCATTTCCTTCATTAGTCATATTGTCAAACTCTCAGTCCCAAATCTGAAACCCGAATAGATTGTTTTATCAGACTCTAACCGAAAGGGTTTCACTCCTTTATTTCGTGCACTTTGGGCTAGGACATAGATCTTGGTGCCCTGAGAGTGGACTCAACTACTTTTAGTTTCATATTTCCATAAATCTCATACTTTCTCAAATTGGAACTCCAACAAATGATCATGTAATGATCATAGTTATTCAATTCCACTAATACTTTCCCAACAAGTCCACAATGCATATCACAGACTCACAGTTATCGTTCATGATAATTATGAAACAATATTCAAATGACATTTCAAACAAATAATATTCTTCCAGAAATATTAACCAAAGCCAAACACTTAAGCATTTGAATCATGTTATCAAATAGTCATACAATTGCACCAATTAACATAGACCACATAACCATGTGTATGAAGCCAAATAATATACATACATAAGGATCCACGTCACCGTCACAGTGTCTCAATGTTCTTTTGTTGAGTGACGTGGAGTTCCTAGGTCAATAACAATACAAACGGTTACTATATAATCCTCATATAGTAACTCGGTTATATTCCTTATTATAATTAGGGTCCAATACTTTTCTCGTAATCCAAATTTGGTGTCCACTAATTGGTACCTATACTCTTGTCCTAAACAGTTTCCGAGTTTACAAAATACCCCTGAACTTTTGTGCATTTACACTTTGGTCCCTTAACTTTCTGATAATTACAAAATGACCCATGAACAGAAACTTTTTTTTTTTTTTTTCCATTTAGGTCACTGGTATAAAGGGAGATGGATTGTCTACCCTTCCATTTCCATACTCTCCCCATACCTTCCTATTTGTATAGTCACGGTTAAGTCACGTCAACATTTTACATTCCCATTACTTTTTGTTTTACTATTTCTATAAAAAATTAATATAAAATGTTGACGTGGCTTAACCGTGACCACACATCATAGGAGAGCATGGGGAGAGTATGGAAATGGGAGGGCAGACAATCCACCTTCAGTATAAAGACCTGTTTTTCCAAAAAATTAAATCCAACTTTCAAGCCAAGATACAATTCATCAAAATTCATAAGTGGTACAACTCATATCTTCCATACAAATGTCTTTTAATGTCCAAACAGTATCTGACGAAAACTAACTGCACTATATATGAACATAATTAAAAGATCTCTAAATCCTCGCCTGGATCCTCCATGCCGTCCCCCCGTTTCAATTCCCTTTGATTTAAGGTCCAATGGCAGCTTGCCATGTGTCAAGCAATAAAAAAATTCTAATTTCTCTCCTTCTCCTTTTCTTTGATCCCATTTATACTACTGCATGTGTTGACATGGTAGAATGACACTACCATTAAGGCATTAACACCTACTCGCTGGTTGTCCCACCTGCTGTCACGTGGTAAGTCAACCCCACCTTGGCTGTCACTCCGTACGAAAATTAACCTAAAATTTCGGATTTGGATCCTCTCCTGAGCCCAAGAAGAGGATTCTTCTTACCAAAATATGTTGGTTGTTGGATTTTTATCCAACGACTATAATTATTATAACTTTTAAGGAATCCTCTTGTTTGTAGCCGCTGGATTTATCCAACGGCTCATGTGTCTTGGTCAGAAGAATCCTCTCCTTGGGCTCAGGAGATGATCCAAATCCTAAAAATTCTTTGAGTTTTGAAAAATAATCTGAAACATTCTACAAGTTGTAATGACTCGTAATGACGCCCACTACCTTCATATGAAAACCTTTTCGATAAATAAACACAACATATTTTTCCAAACATTTGTCTTCTTCGATAATAATTTTTGGGGTTTAACATATTCATATCTCAAATCTCGATCGCATATTTTCGATTTTGCATTTTTTCTAATGGAAATGCTAACAACCTATTTGTTTGCACAATGATCTAAACCATCTATTTAAAAAATAAAATAAAAAGTCATTAAGGATGACAAAATCCAAAATTGTTTAATCATCAATCCAAAATCGTTTAGTCATTAATCGATCTTCGATTATCTAATAAATAGATGAACCATATTATTTAGTTAAAAATTAAATTTAGGGCAACATTAATCGAACCGTTAACAGATTATGTTTGGAATTTTTTTTTTTATATTTAAATTGTGACCTAAAAAAGTGACCACTCGGATCATCAAAAAACATTTCTTATAGCTTTTCCGAGCTCGAAAGAGATGGATAACCGTGACCAGTAGTAAATCTACAGAGGAACCTGGGAAGGTCCCAGAACCCCTCGGCGACCCTAAACAGCTACTAGAAATTTGCAGGTTGCAAGTTACAGTGGCGTCTTCTTCTCGAAGAAGAACGAAAATAGAACCCTTTTTAACAATTGGCCGAAAACGATAGTGTTTTGGCTAATTGTTTCAATTTTTTTATAAAAAAAATATAAAATAAATAAATTAAACAATGGACAAAATGCTGTCATTTGTCCACATTGTTTCAAACCCCAACCCACATCCGTCCCCACAATTCCATCATTTCCCACTCATCTGCTTCCCCCAACGTCCAGCTTTAACATATTCACCCAAATTCCAATCCCCAACCCCCTAGATTTCAAAACCCTAAAATTCTAAATCCCACCCAATCCCATATTATAATTTTTATTACTCCAATATCATACCTCCACTTGTTTCAAATCTCCAAGCCACCACTATTTGTTCAAAATTCAAGTAAGTTTTTTGGTATTCTAATCTAATCTCAAATAAATTATAATAGGTATTGATGGAGATTTTTTAGTCTATTATTGATATGGTTAATTGGTATATGTTTTGTGTTTTTTTTGTTAAATGTGTAGTTTAGAAATAAGAAATATGGAGAGATTTTTCAAGCCAAAGCCAATAGCACTATCTATTTGTTCAGGTTGTTCGAGCTCAAGACAAAATGAATGTGACATTGATTTTAATAATCTTGAGAGATCTTGCTAAGAAAATGGTGGAGAAAGGGTTGCATCAAACATTTGCATATGTATATTTTCACCTTTAGTTGGCTTTGGTTTTACCTGGTTGGAGTCGCTTCAATGAAAAGGGCATTTTCTGCTATAAATATTATTAAGGGTCAACTTCACAATAAAATGGGAGATCAATGGTTGAGTGACAGCTTAGTTGTTTACATGGAGAAAGATGTTTTTTCATGTATTGGTAATAAAGCTGTCATGGAACATTTTCAGACTATGAAACCTCGTCGTGGACGCTTAAATTAGGATTTTATAGCTTGTAATGTTGTTTTGCTATGATTTTTGAATAAAATGTATTATATTTAACTTTTCAATATTGTTTTTGTCTATAAATTTTTTAACCCTTATTAATGGGACCCTCCGAGTTTAAAATTATGGATTTGTCACTGACCATGATTTGCCATCGGTTGTTCTTCTTTTATATAAATACAAAAATACAAAAAAAATGATCATTGAAAAACATTTCTAAATTTAAAAAATAATTGAAAAAAAATAGCAAAACAAAGTTTAAATGACAAAGTTGCTATCATTTTTTTTTTCTTTCTAATAGTAGTTAATTTCAAAATTAGAGATGGCTTTAACCTTGCAGCAAATTTTATTTAGCTACAAACAACAACCAAGTGAAGAAAAAATTCAAACATAAAAAATTAAGTAGAAGGGCACGAAAAAATGTGTTATTTTTTATATATCAAAATATTTAGTGTCACTTGAATATTGAGTGCTGGAAAAAATCTTCCGACCAAATGTAACATGAATGATTGAGGTAGACAGACATTATTGGCCCCATCAGAATCTCACAATTCAGAGCCAAATCAAGAAATTTGAAACGCTCATTTAAATCCTAGTGTCACCATTGCCTCACTTCGCACAAATTAAGAATCTAAATATCTCCTTCCCTCTTACGAACAGTCCGGGCATTTCGATCCGTTGGATTCAGATTGCAAGATCGCGAGGGGATCTGAATTCCCCTAATCAAACTGTCGTTTTCATGTCCACGGACACGTGTCGTTCACCGAAGCAGAGAACGAAAAGTCCGATGTGGGCAGTTGTCATCGCGTCAGCAGTGTCCTCACCTCTCAGCAATCGTCATCTCCCTGTTTGATGTAACATTATACGTGTCACCATTTGGAGTGCGTTGGTAAAAAGCAAAAAGCATTTTCCACAACGGAATTGGATCTCTCCGAGTCAGCCCTCCGATGCCCCAAGAACCAGAGAGAAAGAACAAATTTAGCTGAGGGAAAGAACACGGTTCTTCAATCCTCAGTCACTGACCATCTTTCTCTGAATTATTTGAAGCCTCATCAGCTTCAGCTGGTAAGAACCCAGTATTTTTTTTTTTTCGATTTTTTGTTAATTTTGGTTAGGAACCGATTAAGATCATGTATTATTAGCAAACCCAGATAATGTTTTGTCTCTGTAGAATCTGTTGTGATGGTTCTTGATGATTTGGGGTTGCCTGTGTGTCCTGGAAGAAGGAGGAGGAGGAGGAGAAGAAGAAATGTAAAGCAGACAACCTCAAAAATTTTAGATAAGGCTGAGCTGTCTGAGATCCAGGAATGCCCAAGTTACGTGTAAAAAAAGGTTTCACCTTTGTCTGGTTTTCATGTGATCTTGTTGTGTTAGTTTTCTTTTTCCTAGGTTGTTTCTCATGAACCCTTTTGCTTTCTCTTGTTGGATTTATAGAAAAAGGTGAGATTGCAGTGGTTTTCATGTGCTTATGTGTATATCTAAAGGTTGGTGGTTAGGATAGGGTTTTGGTTTTATGTGGCTGATTTTGTGCCAGAAGGAAGAGTTTGGTGAGCTAAGAACCCTATATAAGAACTCGATTCACCAGTTAAATCATAAAGTTTTAGTCACTTGGAGAGGTTATAGATCCATTGTTTCCCACGAGATCTGATTACCCCATTGTATTCTGCTCATTTGAGAGAATTGGTGGGTGGATCAGTAGTATAATTTGCGGAAGTGGGGATATTGACCGAATTAAGAACTTACCTCCGGATCGTTGCTAGAAATTTACCCCGGTTGATTGAAGGTAAATGTCAAATGTTACAAAGATAAGGAGATTGATGGAAGACATGTCTCCAGCAGTTGCAGTGACTCTTAGTTTAGGTAATGCTATATGTGATAGTGCCGGAATTGGAGCCAATGTGGAGTTCACATGGCTAAAGCTTGTAACAGACTCGGGAAACTTGTCTTCAGATTCCTCTAAGGTGGTTCCTTTAGAGTCAGTCGCTTGCAGTAAAGGAAGTTCCGATGATATTGAAAGCAAAGTTAGTGTGGTTCCGTGCCATCACGAGACGATGATGGTGGAAACACTTCTGTTGCTAATAATGTCATGGTTCAAGAAAGTGAGGAAGTGCAAATCTTAGCCTCTAGATATGATACTAATGGAATTGTTAGTGAGGAATTGCTGAAGTTAGAGATGGGGTCTGCGATAAGCTTGCCAGATGATGTGGAGATTGGAAAAATTAGTGAAGGGAAGATTGTTGCAAAAGCTATTGTCTTTGTAGAATCGGCTGTTGGGAAAATGGCTTCTGGGGTTGTTGCAGCAGTAAGCCCTGCTTCTGAGTTATCAGATAAATCTGAATTATCAACCTCTATGGTACTTATCCATGCAAATAGTGAGAAGATTGTCGGTAAAGCAGGCAACCGGAGTGTTTTTGAGCTCAATTGTATTCCCCTCTGGGGTTCTGTATCAATTTGTGGAAGACGACCAGAAATGGAAGATGCATTTGCTGCTGTTCCTTGTTGTATCAATATTCCAATCAAAATGCTTGTCGGTAATCAAGTGTATAATGGAATGAGCCAAAGTTTGAGCCACCTAACCAGTCACTTTTTTGGCATTTATGATGGCCACGGCGGCCCTCAGGTACATGCCTTCTCTGTATATTTATTTAATTCATTCAAGTTAAGGTATATTCTGATGCAACGTAGCTGTTTTAGGAAATATTTTATTCTGATTTTATATTGTACCATTGAACAATTTCACATTGTTATTGTGCTGAAATATTGGTAATTAACAAACTGTAACTGTAAGCTAAATTAAATAGCATTGTGGTGGCACCACATGATTCTTTACGTCTATTTGTTTGATCTTTTTCCAGTGTTCAGATTAGTTCATGAATGTTTTCTTGCATATCCTCAACAGAGTACAAGAATATGGCTTGTTTCCTCGGTGGAAAATGATTTGAGCTCTGTCTCCTCATGCAGGTTGCTAACTTTTGTAGTGAGCGGCTCCATTTGGCTTTGGCCGAAGAGCTTGGAGTCATTAAGGACGACTCTGGTGATGGGATTACGGAAGAAACTCAGCAGTTGCATTGGGAGAAAGCATTCACTAATTGTTTTCAAAGGGTTGATGATGAGATTGGAGGAAAAGTAAGCAGAGGCATCATTGAAAGCAATGCAGATGCTTCTGAAGTTAGTTTTGAGTCCTATTGCCCCGGAAACTGTTGGGTCTACAGCTGTGGTTGCATTAGTTTCGTCATCCCATATTATAGTTGCAAATTGTGGTGATTCAAGAGCAGTTCTATGTCGTGGCAAACGAGCGATACCATTATCAGTCGATCATAAAGTAAGCATGTGTTTATGGTGTACACAATTACATGTTTAGTACTGAAACTTTCTCTCTTTGTAGAAACCAATCTCCTATTATTTTTATACATTTTCATTTTCATTATCGTTCCCAGCCAAACAGAGAAGACGAATATGAAAGGATTGAGGCATCTGGTGGCAAGGTAATACAGTGGAATGGGCACCGTGTTTTTGGAGTTCTTGCAATGTCAAGGTCCATTGGTACGTCTATACTTACCTTGATACTGTTGACTTTTCTCATATTTGTCCACTCGAAAAGATAAAATATAAAGTTCTTTCACGTTTCCACTCTTTTAATTACTTCTGTTATGAGATTTGTTGAGGAGGCTTGTGTTAGTTGTCTGCTAACAGAACGCAGCAGTGAGGGGCAACCTGCCCATACGACTAACCATGAACATTTCCTCCCACTAGCTCAAGAGCTTTTAATGCGCATTTAGCGAGCAGTTCGAGTGTTTGGCTATGAGAGCATGACAAAGCAGTTTGACCACTTTTTCCTTGCGCCCCCATCCTTGGAAACAAGTGACTCTTAAAATAATGTAACAATTTACCATGAGTGTTCGCAGTATGTATGAACATTCAGTTGCTTGTCTAGTCTTGTCAGAACAAATGGATTACAGTTTTTTATTAGCATTTCCCATCTATATGTTAAACTCAATAAGGAGCTTAACATCGTTTTCCTCTTCTTATCGATCTACAGGGGATAGATATTTGAAACCGTGGATAATTCCAGAACCAGAAGTCATGGTTGTCCCTCGAGCTAGAGATGACGAATGCCTTATTTTAGCTAGTGATGGTCTATGGGATGTTATGACGAATGAGGAAGCTTGTGAAGTGGCTCGAAAACGCATTCTGCTATGGCACAAAAAGAACGGGGCTACACCTCTTGCGGAAAGGGGAACAGGAGTTGATCCTGCAGCTGGGGTAGCTGCTGCCTACCTTTCAACCCTTGCCCTCCAGAAGGGAAGCAAGGACAACATCTCTGTGGTTGTGGTGGACTTGAAAGCTCAAAGGAAGTTCAAGAGCAAATCCTAAAATTTGGAGGGGAACTATTCACCTGCATCGGATGGTTTTGGCTGTCTCCTTACTATCTGAAAAGTATTTAAAGAGCGTGGTTCGTTCATTTTCTCGTCGGCTCAATGTGTCTACAAGCATAAAAATCTGTGTTTACTATGTACTGTAGAAACTGTAATGCAATGCCATGTGTTTTTTCTTGTTTGTGCCGGAGTTCTAGATACCGATTGTATGAAAATGAGGTTACTTCGGCTTTAGATGGAGAGCCACTCGTAACTCGTTTGTATTTTGTGTACGGTTTCGGATTTCTCTGTTCTGTGGCCTCTGCCCTTTCTTTTAGGGTAATCCAATTTTGGACCTATATTTTTTTGTTATAACAAATTATGGATCTATACAACAACAATAACAAAGTTTTTTTCCCACAACGTGGGATCGGCTGTATGAATTCTAGAACGTCATTGCGCTCGATTCTGTGCCATATCTTCTGTTAGATCCAAGTACTCTAAGTCTTTTCTTAGAGTCTCTTTTAAAGTCTTCCTAGGTCTTCTCTACCCCTTTCGGCCCTGAACCCTGTCCCGTAATCGTATCTTCTAATTGGAGTGACAGTAGGCCTTCGTTTTACAAGTCTAAACCACTGTAATCGATTTTCTCTCATCTTTTCTTCAATTTCGGCTACTCCTGCTTTACCTCAGATATCCTCATTCCTTTCTCGTGTGTCCACACATCCAACAAAGCATTCTCATCTTCGCTACATCCATTTTATGTAAGTGCTGATGCTTCACCGCCCAACATTCCATGCCATAAAGTATTGTTGTCCTTATTGATGTCCCATAAAAATTTCCCTTAAGCTTTAGTGGCATACAATGGTCATATAACACGCCTGATGCACTCTTCCACTTCATCTATCCAGCTTATATTCTATAATTGAGGTTTCCATCCAACTCTTTGTTCTTTTGCAAGATAGATCCTAGGTAACGAAAGCGGTCACTCTTTGGTACTTCCTAATCTCCAATCCTTACGCCTAACTCATTTGAGTATCTCCGTTCACACTGAACTTGCACTCCATATACTTTGTCTTTGATCGACTTAGGCGAAGACCTTTAGATTCCAACACTTCTCTCCAAAGGTTAAATTTCGCATTTACTCCTTCCTAAGTTTCATATATCAACACTATATCGTCTGTGAAAAGCATACACCAAAGAATATCATCTTAAATACGTCTCGTTAACTCATCCATTACCAATGCAAAAAGGTAAGGACTTAAAGATGAGCCTTGATGTAACCCTACAATTATGGGGAAGCTTTCGGCTTGTCCTTCATGCGTTCTTACGGCAATTCTTACTCTATCATACATATCCTTTATAGCTTAGATATATGCTACTCGTACTCTTCTCTTTTCTAAAATCATTCAATGAATGTCTCTTGGGACCCTATCATACGCTTTTTCCAAATCTATAAAGACCATGTGCAAATCCTTTTTTCGCATCTCTATACATTTCCATCGATCTTCGTAAGAGATAGATTGTCTCCATGGACCTATCTTAATTTTAAATTATTAACTCTCCCTCGTCACTTAGGCTCCATTTGGTGGGCTACCTGAGATAAGCAGTGATCAATTAAAATGGACTTGAGTGAGACAGACAGGACTAACCTGAATGAGTTATGAATCCACAATGAAGTGAGTTGTCTTACTAGTCTATGCCAATCCAATCATTTGACTCCTGGTTACATCAAAGACAATATGCATTAGTCCCTAGAATTTGGTCATTAGAGCTCTGGTCTTTGAAATAAAAGTTTAATAGTTTTTGAATTTTTTTTTTTTTAACAAATGATATTATCTCCAATAAAGAGGTGGGAGAGTGAGCTAAGTCTCACAATGAGCTAGCAATAATGTGATTCAAATTCACCTTAACCAAAAATCAAACCTAAGACATCTCACTTACAAGTAAAAAAAAAAAAAAATACCACTATTATTAGTTTATGAATTTGTCACAACATGGAGTTCCCTTTGAGTACAACCGTCACAAATTGGATACAAAATAAAGGTTTTAAAGTGACAAGAAATGGACGGAAACCAAAAAGACCATTATTGTACTTTGGATGGAAACCTAAAACACTATGCTGCACATTCTAATACATTCAGGACTCACAAATAATTTGAGATTTTAGTTCAAGACCATTACTCATGAGTAATGGTCTTTTACTTTTGAGTACAACCGTCAGAAATTGGATACAAAATAAAGGGTTCAAAGTGACAAGAAATGGACACAACCAAAAAGACCATTGATGCACATGATAATGGATGGAAACAAAAAAACCATTGCTCCACGTTGTAATAAAACTCTGGATAATACTCTGATAATTTGAGATTTAGTTCAAGACCATTGCTCCATTTAACATCACGCCTAAAGGAGCACACTGCAATAGGATTCAATAATTAATGTCTTGCCATAAAAACAAAAGGCCAAACTTTGTAAAATTGCTGCCAGACAAGCACAGTGAAATCAAAGTGTGCAGTAGAAACGAAAGAACACAGATACAACGAAGAAAATCATCTCTTGCCCTTCTTCCGCCTCCGCTGCTCTTGTGGAAATTTTAGAGGGACAGGAAGGGTCGCGACTGGTTTTCCCTTTTTTTTAGTTAACTTGCAACCCAAGTTCTCGTAATGGTCCTTCACATTTGCTTCACCCATTCTCAGATCCTTTGCTATATCTGTCAACTCTGTCTGGAACTCGTCCACATGAAGAGTGAGCACCAAGACATAACTAATGAGGAGATTCGTCTTCTCTCTTGATAGGGTTTGCCTTCTTGAACCTGCCGCCGGATCAAACATGTTAAGGAACTTGTTGCGTAGATTGCTTGGGATTCTGTGGCCCTTCGCGGAGGAAACACCATCCATGGTATACTGATCTTTGAACTTTATAAGATGTGTAATGTATGTGCATATGCAAGCAAGCTTAAACTTCTCCTCCTCAACCTACAAGCATAGAAAACGCGTCAATGAAGATTATTATTCCGTTTTCTCACCATAAAATGAAGTGAGAAAAGAAGGACCAACATAATTTTTGCATTCTTACCCGAATATCCTTCAATTTCTGGATTCTATTGAGCACAAAATTTGGGTAAGCATCCCATTTAACATCATTTCCACCTTGCAGTTTATTATAAATATCTTGGACATCATCCCACTCTCCTGTGATGATGATCTTGTCTAGTGGATAAGCCTCCTGTGGAGTGGTGGCAGATTCATTAAATGGTGGGATATGGCGAGAGCTTTGGGTTTCAGCGCTTTCAAGAGCCTCCTTGTTTACCACAATCTGTTTCATTTTGGCATCCAAATCGTTTAGAGAATCAGGACCATCTGCTTGCTTCAAGGACTGCATTTTCTTACTCTGCAATATCATAGAAAATTCAATTAACATGCTATGCTTTTGAAAAAGATACTATATTCAACTTGATAATAGTGTTGGAAATTCCCAGACAGTCTCAGTTGCAACTTGCAACTTGCAAGTATCTCAAACCATACATAGCCCAAGCTACTACCTATACCATGTCCTTTGCTGAACTTAAGCATCAACATTTTCTACTTTTGATAAAAGGAATGAATTAAATGAATGAGAGAGGCACACCCTCGCCGACATTATAGCCACCCAATGGTTGTTTCTAGTCATTATATAGAATTCTTTTTCATTCCTCTTCAACCCTTGATCTTTTATATATAAACCTCAATACTGGCTAGTGGCCTTTAACATCGCAAGGAAGCTATCCCTTATTGAAATATAAAAAAAATCACAAAGCAGTGAAAACACTCAGTAATGTGGGAACTTAACACAAATAAAAACATTGCTCATACATACGCAGCAAAAACCGTAGTTATTCTAATATTTCATATGTTTTCTCAAACAGTAGTTATTTAAATAGTTCATGTTAATTGATTTATAGCAGTAATGAGTTAATGAGTCATACAATGAAGCTTTGGGAGAGAGTACTTGAGCAGAAACTAGACAAGAGAAATGGATCTTTGTCCATGCCAGGGTGCTCGACTATGGAGGCAACGATGGAACGATATAGAGATATGCAAAAGGATGTGCACATGATTTTTATAGATTGAAAGATCTCAACCATAGAATATAAGTTGGATGGATGAAGTGGAAGAGTGCATTGGGTGTGTTGTGCGACCGTCGTATGCCACTAAATCTCACGAGAAAGAACAGGATTAAGAACGAGGACCTGAGGTAAAGTAGGAGTGGCCGCAATTGAAGATAAGATGATAAAAAATCGGTTAAGGTGGTTTGGAAATGTGAAATGAAGACCTACACATGCACTGATTAGAAAATGCAATTGTAAGATAGAGGTTCAAGGGAAAAGGAAAGGAATAGAAGAATACCTAGGAAGATTTGGAAAGAGATTTTAAGAAAAGTCATGGAGTACTTGGAGCTAAAGACTTGGCACAAAACCGAGTACAGTAGCGTTCTAGGATCCATACAGCCGACCCCACTTAGTGAGACAAGGCTTTTTTATTGTTGTTCTATATTTTTTTCAAAACAAGCAGATTGGTTACCGCATAATGCATTAACTTTTGAAAACAACTTTTTTGAAGAATAAAGCCGAAATGAATTTGATGAACTATTAGAATCATTAAGCGACTTACATGTTAGTTATATACATGTGCACAAATTCTAATGTATTCTTACAAGATTCAAGGACAAGTTCTAATGTTTTCTTACTATATTCAAGGATTCCACCACACATCCACAAACACACACACCGCACACCCCACACCCCACACTTCCCTTTTACCTGCCTAAATTTCAAATTTTAACAGACGCTCAGACAAGACATATGACTGCAGAAAATGTTAGTGATGATGCCTTACATAAAAGCTCAAAAATAAATAAATAAACGAATAACGAATAGGGTCTTACCTCCCTAATAGACTTCTTTGTTCCATATAGATTATGTAGCTGCATCTGCTTCTCTGCCTTCTCTTGTGCAGTAAGTTCTCCCATTGCTGAACTTGCAGGTTCCTTATCAGAGTAGTTATACCCTCTAACTTTTGGTTCTAATCTAAATATCTGAAAATTCACATCCCAAGTAAGCTTATCAGCATTCCTTGGAAAGCAGAAGCAATGATAAATATACGCACATGCGCTCACCTTATTCCATTGGACCAGAGAGTAAATATGAGATTTCATATAAACATATATAACAAGTATGAACTGTACCCGAGATTTCAAATCAACTCTTTTCAATTTTGATAACCACAGTTTAAATTTAAAAGAGCATCCAGTATAAAATCCAATAAGCATGCATGTTCTACTCAAAACAATAATAAAGTCAGCAACTTACTTCACCAAATCCAACCCACAGCAAAAACAAAAGCAACACCGGAGAAACAAACACAATACAAATGTAAACTTCCTGCCAATGCTTTTAAAGCAATACATCAATACACCAACACATCACCCAAATCAAACAAATGAAACGAAAACAAGGACGAAACAAACTATTAAAATTGACTAGCCGCCGGAAATAAACCCCACAAAAACGAACAGTCCCAAAGCAATTACCTTGTTAGAAACAATGGGCGTAATCTTCAAAGTCTGGGTGGCCTTATCTAGAACACCAAGTGCATAATTGCAGTACTGGTCACTGGTGGCCGCACCAGTATAGCTAGTTCCAACAAAATCGACATTGGTCCCATCCGGGTGCACCACAAGCTCCACTCGTTTGGTTCGGTTGGCGTTCCGAAAGAGTCCGATTTTGGTCGAATTAGGGTCTGGGTTCTTGGTGGGATCGAACCCAGATGAGAAATGGGCCACTATAGGTGGGGTTTTTTCTGGGTGTTCCGGGAAAACTTGGACGGCGGCTTGGAATGTTGGAATGGTTGGGACGGCGGTTTTCTTCGTCTTCCTCTTCTTGTGTTTGTGCTTTGGTGTCGATGGGTCTTGGTTTTGGGTCAATTGAGACTTGGTGTCTTCTGCGTCGGATTCCATCGGTTCAGATAGGGGGAGCTCCGTTAGTTTTGGAGGTGGCTGCTGGGTGGCTGAGGTTAAATGCAGACTTGGACACTGTTCTGAGACGGAAGAGTTGGGGGGAGGGCAAGTCGTGGGTTGGACAGTTTTACGGGTTTATAAGAGAGGGTTTGGGTAATTTTTTTGAGTAATTAGTTACTTCCTCAATTTTAGTTCACGGAACAAACTCATATTTCATATATTAACATATGATATTAGAAAAGCCAATATATTAACATATGATGTTACAAAAACCATCTACTTAAACTATACACAGCATTTTTGCTCACCACTATAACTATGGTGTATGTTTACAATACACCTAATTATTTGTCATGTGTTATTTTACCCAACTCTAGTTAATTTTTACATTAAATGTTACTTTTTTCAATTTTGAAAAAAAATTAACTAAGATTAAATGAAATGACACGTGATAGCTTATTGGATTTTGATGTATGATAAGCATACGCCAGAGTATAAGACAGTGAACAAAAATGCTCCTTAAACAAAATTACAAACCAAATAATATCTCGCTTAATAGTTGGACTCCTTCACACAGATGCAATGTCAGATCTAGCAATAACCCATCGTTGTACCAACCGGCCATTTGAAAATCAGATCTGACAAACCACCGCAATTCGCCATGGCAAGCCAGGCTAAGTATGAGATTTCACCAAACTCGCAGCTCACCCTCCTCCTTCTCTCAATAGACTTGTCTTCTCCCTCAAATGGTAAATATGATGAAAGAATGGACAAATCCGTTAAGAGAAAAAGCAGAGCGAGCCACGACTTTAGTCAAATCTCACACCTACCCTTGTTCACCATGGCGGAGTGCGGTGGTTTGTCAAATTTGATTTTCAGATGGCCGGTGACGGGTTATTGCTATATTTGAGATATCATCTGTTTGAAGTTCTCACCCACCTGCAAAAATTTCAACGAATTCCGAAATTTGTTTAATTTTCTGGCTTGCAGATTGAAATACTACGTAAATAAAAAAAATCTAAAACTATATCTTCATCACCTACAGGCCCGCAGGCACCCCCTTCCCCATCGTCATTGCACCTCTCTCTCTCTCTCATTGTGGGGCTCGTGACGTTCAAATAGGTAGATAACGAAGAAACTAATAGAATTTGAAACAGATGTATGGCACAAGTTAGCAAACACGTCAACACAAATGTGGAACCATTGTTACCATGTTATCACTTAAAGACTAACTTAACAAATTTTCTAACAATTGTATGACATTGAAATGAAATAATAACTAAATATATGGTATTGAAATATTTAAAGATGTATGATGTTGTAAATGTACCAAAACTTGAGGGAAAATATGCAATTTATTCAAATTTTTAGAGTTGACTTTTAGACAATGATGATAAAAAGAATGAACATTTTTAATTATAACGTTTGTATGGTGAAATAATGACACGTCATTATATAAGGATAAATTATTGTTTACATCATATCATTTTATGGTAATATAATGGTTCATTTAGTTGGCTTACGGGGGAGAAAAGGAGTTTGGAGTTAACTGACATGTTTACTTAATATTGTGATGCAAAAGAAAATATAATAGTATTTTTATTATTAACACGTCTTGGACAACAAGGTAAGAGATTATCAGAGGCGCAACCTGCATTGATGGCTCATCCAATTTAGCAAAAGCAAACATACACAAAACTATCATCTTGCACTTATTCTTTATAAAACTGTACGAGATAAAATATACATAGAAAGCTTTAGACAATGAACGAGGATCCTTTCTGAATCCTCTTTGCGAAGATTTCGAAAATCTTCAAATTGTGTCTGTTCATCGTACATTATGTGGTCAGAAATCATTTTAAATACTTTTATTTAAAATTAAATATAAATAGTACTTAACAAAAACTGGCCCACAATATATGATAAACAGACATAATTTAAAAATCTCTAGGATCCTCACAAAGATTCATAAACAATAATAGCTTGTATAAATATTCTTGGGTAAATTACATAAAACTACCTCAACTATTGGGTCAGTCACAGTTTCATACCTCATCTTTAAAAAATTTCAATGTCATACCTTATCTACGAATTTTTTACAATTTCATACCTTCTGTCAATTATTTGTCAATTTTTCTATTAACAGTGACGTGGCTTGAGACGGGCCCACACTCTATTAAAAATTAAAAAAATATTTAAAAAAAAATGATTTAAATTTTTTTTTTTTTGCATAGGGTACCCACCGCTTATCCCCTCGCCCTTTCTTCCTCCTTCCGTCTTCCCCAAACCCAAACCTAGATACCACCCACTCCTTCTTCTCCGCTCCCATCCTTCACCACTCCACCGCCGCCCTTTCTTCCTCCATTTCCACGCCTACAACCCATCCAAATAGTCCCTTAAACCCACCACTCCACCGCCACCCTCTCTTCCTCCATTTCCACGCCTACAACCATCCAAATAGTCCCAATCCACCCAAACAGTCCCTTAACTCCATCACTCAGACTGATTCGCAAACTTCTCCACCTTCTCATCCATCAAATTCAACCCCACCATCGCCTCCCCCAACCTGCAGCTCACCTTTGCCAGCACATCCGAGTCCCAATAGTGCGTTACTGCCTGCACAATTCATTGCTCCCACCTTCCTATCTCAATTCATTCCCCAATTAATTTCTCTTCTTTTTTTTTTTTTTGATTTTTGATTTTAAATTTTCCAAATTTTGATTCGATTTTGTGTACAATCCGATTCAGATCGGACTCGGATCAGACTTAGAGAAAAAAATGGCAGCATCTCAACAGCTCCAGGACCTGTAATTGCAACCGGGGAACAAGACCTACATGGATTGCTCCCAAAAGAACTCGTAATGGGCTTTGGTTTCGTACGACGTCTTCATGTGCTTAGAGTGCTCCAGCAATGAGCAGCTCAACGCTTTCCTCGCCAGCTATGGCGTTCCTAATGAGGGACCCATCCGTCGTGAAGGAGGCCCTAGGGTTTAGGAAAAAGAAGCCGCATTTGGCCCAAGGTGGCGACGATGGAAGCGGCAAGGGAGCTGGTTATGGGAATAATGGAGGGGTAGGATAGTTGGGACGACAACGATTTCAGATCGTCGAACGATATGAGGAAGGAGGGAGGGAGTCGAGCGATGGCGTGGTGCGGGTGAGGTGCGTGAGTGGCAGTTGAAGGTGGTCAGCAAAGCTGGAGAAGCAGCGGGGGAGGTCAAATGGAGAATGGCGGTAGTGATTGGCTCAGAAAAGACAGGATGGGTGGGATCTGGTTAGTTTTGGGTTTGGGGAAGAGGGGGGCGGGGAAGAAAGGGTGGGGGGGTGGGTTCCATGCAAAAAAAAAAAAAAAATTCTTTTTTTAGTTTTTTAATATTTTATTAATTTTTTAATACGAAGTAGGTTCATTCTCAAGTCACATCACTATTTAACGGAAGAAATGACAGAAAACTGACGGAAGTTATATTTAACGAAAGAAATGACAGAAAACTGACGGAAGTTATAAAATTGTAAAAAAATTCGTCGAGGTATAAAACTGTGACCGACCCAATAATTGAAATAATTTTATATAATTTATCTAATTTTCTTGGTAAAGTGGTAAAGTTCAAAGCCAATATGAAATGATAATTCTAAACCTAAGAAATTAGATTACCGTAATGATTACAAACTTTAGGGTCAATATAAAGTAAAGAATTATTTGTTGATTTGACAAAAGTAAACGAGAAAACATGAATAAATAAAAATAAATTTGTAAACGAGAAAACATGAATAAATAAAAATAAATTTGTTGACAGTGGGATTTGAACCCACGCCCTTTCGGACCAGAACCTTAATCTGGCGCCTTAGACCAACTCGGCCATATCAACTATGCTATCCTTCATTTCTTTTCCGTTAATATGATACTATACCGATAATAACTCGACATGCTGTTCACCAGCTCACCTCTGATAAATCGAAGAGAAAATTGTAGAAATGATCATTTAACTTTAACTCAATTTATTTAATATTTTCCAAATTGATATAGAAAATAGGGTTAAAATTATGGTTATTTTCGTCAACTTCATCAGAATTCCGTCAAAAAGACTTATGTTGGAATGACCATTGCTACAATTGAATTAAAGTTGAGAAATCATTGCTCTAATTAGATCAAAGTTGATGGAGAATGTCTCTAATTAGGTTAAAATTGAGGGACCATTGCTACAATTTTTCTCATTTCGATTTTCATTCTTACCTCTTGATTCAATCTCACGTGTGTGGTACGTGACTCATTCTGACAAAAGTCTAATGAAGTTGACGAAAAAAATGATAGATACATGTTTTGATAAGTTAAAATATCAAAGTGAAAAAATTTTAATTGAAAGACATTTGTTCCAATTAAATTAAAGTTGAGACCAATGCAATTTCCTCTAAATCAAATAATAAAATTCCTTATCTTTTATTTTCTTTGCTTAAAAAATTGTAAAAACGTAAAGAAACAGGGAGTTGATGTGAGGCTTTCTTTCTCTATCTTCCTGTTGATTTCTTCGTTAATGGAGAAACGTCCTCACCTTTGAAAAGAGAGAGAGAGAGAGAGAGAGAGAGAGAGCAATTAAGGCAAATTCTTGTAAGAAAAAAAAACCCATTTATCCATTTCATCAGCCGCTGCTTTTGCAAAACCCATTTATTCTCCACGGAAGCTGCTTTCTGCTGATTTCAGCTCTCCGTTACTGTTTCTTCAGAGGTAAAGATTTCCTCACTTTCTCTCTCTCTCTCTCTAAAATCCACTGTATTTCTTTGGCTCTTTTTTCTTGGTGAGAATTGGAGTTTTCGAGTTGGGTTGATTTCTATCACTTTATGGTTGGATTGTTTCAGTTTTTTGATAGTCTTGGCAAAAATTTATGTGTTTAGAGTAATTATTCCACCTTAAAATCCTCTGCTCTAACATGGGTTTTGTTGGGTTTTGGAATTCTTGATTGATTTTGGTCTTAATTTTCATAAAACGCCTCACCAAAGTTGCTACCTGTTATTTTGGTTATCATATATTGGGATTTGCAATGCCATTCAAATTATGTTTAGGCCAAATTTTGATTAAGGAAGGATTTTGTGGGGTGGTTGCCCACAAATTATGTTTAGGCCAAAGAATAAAGTTAGAAGAACTGCGGGTTTGCTTTCAATTAGTTTCCTTCTATTGAGTACATACGCCTTGCTAATATACTTGGATTGATTCGAAAGTTATTATCTTTGCTTGGGTTGTTTTATACAACAACAATTCCCCCTACCTTTTGATTGATATTTTCATGTCTTTTACTTGGAGCAAATTAAACGAAGGAAAACGACAACATCTTTCACGAGGTTTGCTAGTTTCCATCTTAAATCACCATTTCTCTGGCACTTCTGGAGAAGACACGATTAAATTCAACTGGCTTTTGAATTTCATTTTGGCATATTGCATGTAGATTCAAACAAAAGTAGAAGAGTTTGCATGAAAAAGTCTATTTGTAAGCATCTACCATATTATTACTAGGGTTCTGTTTGTCCGAAACGTCTTTTACCTCTGGGAAATGCAAATGTCATTAAGAATGTAGGGTTGCATGAATGCTGGTTGGTCAAATGTGACCGGGTTCATATTAGAGTGGCAATATGATGGAAATTTACAAATTCTTTGTTAAGTCGAAGATGGCGATGAATTTACTCCACCACTGCAATATGGCTAGTAGGCCTTGAAATCAAATGATGCAAAATATGTGCAGGATGATAATTTCCCTTCTGTCACTATTATCTAGTTAGTTAGGCATCCAGGGTGATTGTTCTTGATATTATCCTTTTAGAATGCACTACTGAGAATCTGGGAAGGCCATTTATGCGTGTCTTTCATACGGAGGGCATTTTCCTTCCTGGTGAATTTTTTATAGTGTTTTCAGGTTTCGGTATGAACTGGAACCGGTAACACTCTTAGGAGAAAATACTGCATAATTGATAGATGTCTATGGTTTCCGTATCGAGTATTGTGGCCACTCTTGAGTAGTTAAGATTATCTAGTAATGAAATGATATGTTTCACATGAGGTGAATTATCAAACTAGTGCAATCATATGGTGGTCTGGCGAATAAGTCTTTCAAGTCTTGACCTTTTAAATAACTATATTCTTTTTGTGGGACTATCCATTCGCTGGCATATTAGGTTTTGTTCCCTTTTCATATTCATTTGAGTGTCTCATGCAGTTTATATCTTATTAACTTAATTACTTAACCAATGCTGTGCACAGGAAAATGGTTTTTGATTTTATTTTTCTTACTTGCACATCTTCATTCGTCAAGGTTTAACCTATCGTCAGTTGTTTAACAGAATAAATTTTTCGCATAACAGCTTATTTTCTTATATAAAAATACAGTTACTTTCAAGACAGAGAGCAGAACTGAAGGTGACTGTCTTTCAGGCACATGGATCAGAGTATGCAATTTCTTCTGCATTGTATTTTTAATTATTTTTCCATATAAAATGGGAGCCTATGAATGTCTGTAGCAGGAAAATGCGGGGTTGCACAATGCTGCATTATATGCCAAAAAATTATGTTTGCACATGCAATGACCAACCTCATTTATTATTGTTACTGTAATTTCTTATGGTTTTATGATAGGAATTAGTACTTGCTCTTCGTTTTTCATGCGCATGTGGGATGGTACTTAATGATTAGTCTTTGAGGTTCAACATCAGTTGGCAAAGGCTAGATCTTTATTAAATCAATGATCCGGCACATGTTTAGTCTAGTGAGACCTCCATACCTATTGTTAGTCCTTTGTAACTGACAAGTCTGCTTTACACATCACATGCCACTGAGTAAAATTGATTTCTGAAGGACTAGTAAAAGGCCTTAACATCTGGGGCACATTTGAAATCTGTTATGCCAATGCAGAAGTCATTTTCCCACTTTTATCATTGGTGGTTAAGCTTATACAAGCTGTGCGTTTAATTTATTAATTGGCTCCTTTTTGTTAAATTTTATGATAATATGTTATTGGATTACCTTACGAAAGTGGTTGGGTGAGCACAGGGATCTCAACAGATGTAGTGAACCATAGAAATGGTGACTATGCTCCCATCGGTGATCAAGAGGACCCGAAATTGGGAATGTTTGACAAACGCCTTCCTTGCTTTGGCTGTGGAATTGGATGGTTTTCGTGAGTATTCTTGGCTATTCTCTCTCCCTCTACAGTCCACCTCCCACCCCTACACATACACTAATGGATGCACTTTTTTCTATCAGCCTTCTGCTTGGATTTGTATTTCCAGTGATGTGGTACTATGCTGCATTTCTTTACTTTGCGAAGCATTATCAGAAAGACCCAAGGGAACGAATTGGACTTGAAGCATCGGCAGTAGCAGTAAGTTTTATGCTAAAAAATTAAACAGCTCAGTGATCATTTTAGCCTTATTTATATAAGAAATTTAATTCCATTCTCCTCTCTAACCCTATTTATTTTCTTCTTCTCTCAACTATTTCATAAATTTTAACAGGTAAAAACTTTAGAAACGGGTGCGGATAAAATGGGTTAATTCTGATTTTGTTTTGGGAATGGGTTGTAATGAGTAAAAATAACGCTACAAATAGAAACGGGTGCAGGTAAAATGGTTAATTCTGATTTAGTTGTGTATGGATTTCAGTTATCATACCTTGCATTCTTGAACCTCTGTTATTTCTTGCTAATTAAAAGCTTCTGTTACAATGTTTTGGTTAGTTTTGATTTCAGTGTGATAAAGCAGCTCTTTTGGTTATTCACGTCCTCCACCACTTACCACTTTCTAGTCGGAACACTAGGACACATTGGGAGATCTTATGAGAATCCTCCATTTAATAGCGCCACATTCTATGAGAAGCATGCGTTAGGAACCAAACATTTTCTTCTTTTTTGGGTAGTAACCATGTTGTAGTTGTTAACTTTAGGAAAATATTGAATAAAGTATAGATTTGTGTTTGTACATAATTTCAGTTAGTTGTGATGGAGGATTTGTGGACTTTATCATCTTTCATTGATCAGAAATGTTGTGCTTTTTGCAGGCTTTGATATGTACAGTGGCAGTGCTAATAACGATTGCTGTCTTTGTTATCAAGGCTTTGTTTCACTAGCTTATGCAGGCTTCATAGAAAAATCCCTATGTCGGCGATGGTTAGCTCAAGCGTTGTTCCTGTAATCACATCTGACACAAGAAAGGAAAATGTTGGCACCACGGTATGTCTGCCTCCTGATACCTGAAACAGTTTGAGATTTCTCTGTAACAGTGTGCAAAATAGATACTGTGTATATAGCAGAAAATCTGTGTACAGAAAACATTGTAGAAAGGTAGCACGTTTACAAATTACACGCAAATTATCATCTTGCATGCATCGGTGAATCAACTCAAGATCAAATGCTAGAGGATGCAATCAGGTTTGATCCATGTTTAAGAACTAGCTAGTTAGAAGCACACTCTATTCTAGGGGCTTATGAAATATTACAAGGGCAGACGAGACTTGTATATCAGTACATATAGAGAAGGGGCGGTCTGCCTCTTGGTACGCGCTATTACTATGATATCCTTCTGTGTGTTGGAGCATTCTTATACCGTCATTTAGGACGAGATCTGCTACGGAAATGAAGCTTCTTTTGTTCGCCCTATCGTCCGTGTGACGATGGATGGTGGAACATTAGGTTAGGTCAAGATTTCTGTTGATTCTAATGCACTTAGAGGTGTACTCCTCTTTGATAGGGTTTGCACTATATCAGTGGTTTTTCTTTCCAAGTTATTCATACTATTAAATGGTAAAGTAAAATCTCATCAAAGTAGTAGCAACTTCTTTGATGCTTACCTTAACGATTGTTAAAAGGTTAGGGGAGTCCTTTCAGGACTGTCGTTGGTCTTGGGTTCCAAGATCAGCCAATATGGCGGTGGATATTTTGGCGTTGCGAAGTAGTACGCAGGTGTGCAATATCACTTGGGTTAGTAGACCTCCATCTTCGTTGGTTCATGTCCTCAATAAAGATGGCTTACCTTGTTCCCCTTGATCTTTGGTGGTAGGCGTGGGGGTGACACTTGAACCCGGTTCTAGTGTCTTTCTCCTTATCTCCTTCATTGCTTTGTTTTGTTGCTTTGTTGCTTGTTGGCCTCGGTGTAGGCTTTCCTTGTACCTCTCGGCATCTTTCCCTAATTTGTCATTATACCTAACCCCTTTTCCTAAACCACCAACTTCACTTGTGCCCCATTCATACATTTAATATGATTCTTGGTCGATTTAACACCTTTTTCTTTCTTGGATGGGCAAATATCAAGACCACTTTTAAGTCTTTTGCCATCGGAGGCAGATTGTCTGCCCTCCTGTTACCGTGCCCTTCCCATCCTTTCCTATTTATGCAGTCACGGTTAAGTCACGTTAACATTTTATATTGATTTTTTTAATAGAGATAATAAGACAAAAAGTAATATAATTATAAAATGTTAACGTGGTTTAACCGTGACCGCACAAATAGAAGGGGATAGGAAGGGCACGGTAACAGGAGGACTGACAATCTGTCTCCTTTGCCATCATGGGATAAAAAATAAAAAAAATTCAAATACCCGGTATACAAGCTAGTACTTCATGTCTCATAATACAAGTGGAGTGCTATAAATAAATGAAAATGCTTAGGAAAGTTGCTTGCATCTACGTATGCATAGGTGATTCGGAGCCATAGAAGCAAGTTGGCCATTAAAAATAATTGTGAGTCTGAGACTCTGATTGCATCAATGGCTTCGAGTCACCCACGCGGCACTGGTGGGCAACTGTCCCCAAAGCTTATTAAATAAATTGCCATTGCCATTGGTGTTGCTCAAAATAGTGATAAACATTTTTCTTCTATCCAACCAACTAGGTAAGAATATACGCACAAAACAAAACAATCTGCATACTTAAGAGAGATAATTAAGTCAGAACCAACAAATCTGCATTTGAGAATTTCATGTATCAGAAGTTACATAAAATCCAGTTATATTTTAGGACAACTTTTATTTATTGAAGGCTTTTTAGTTAAAATGATTTCTGAGATTTGTATAACTCCTTACTTTGGACCCTGAGATTTGAAATCAATAGAAGTAATCCCTGAGTTTGTCCACCATCAATTATTTTGAAAATCTCCATTAAATAAGGCTAACATGACAAAAATACCTTCAATTTTTGTCAAATCACCCATTGTTAATTAAATTGAGGATATTTTTGTCATTTTGATATTTATTTAATATAATTTTTCATGGAATGACCAAAATGATTGATGGTGGACAAACTTAGGAACCACTTCTATTAATTTCAAATTTCAAAGACCAAAATGATGAGTTATGCAAATTTCAAGACAATTTTGACTAAAAAACATTTATTAAAAAATGAATTATCTAAAACACAATTTAACAAAAATGGAGCACCAATTGAAGATGAACCATTTAGCAAGTTGCAACCAAAGCTATTAAGCTGACACAATAGACCTTTCTTTGGAGGGACCCCAATTTGTTCTTTCCTTCCTTTGCAAACAACAAAAATTCTAAAGTGCTTTGGAGTACATCATACTTCGGGGTTTCAAATAAAATCCTTGCAAATAAATTTCCAAAGTTTCTCTTTTCTTATATATATTTTTTTTATCAAAGCGAGGGAGTCGAACTTGAGTGATTAATTGAAATTTGTTATGCATAAGCAACAATCCTAGATTTTAAGTGATTATATGAAATACGTTATGCATAACCTTTTTATTTTACTCACAAAATGGTTGTTTTTACACTTTTTTTTTTTTTTTTTTATGCAAATAGTAATAGTATGAAGGGAATCCGAAGGGAAGACTTTATACATGTGTTTAGTTAAGACTTTATGCATGAGTTTAGTTTTATATTCAACTCTTTTTTCTTCTCTTTTAATTTTTGTACAAATGCGATCTTTAAATTCCACTAATCTACGGGGAGTGATATTTGAGTACATGCTTTTATTTTTTAAGATAATGAAAAACGAAGAAGTTATTTAATAATCATTTCGTTTTTTATTTTTAATCTTCAAACTAAAACCTCGTATGAGAATTACATTCAACTTTCAACCAAATTCAACAGTAAAAACTAAATTTAAAAACTTAAGAAAGTAGTATTCATTTTTTGGTTTCCAACTTTCATTTCTTTAACACTAAATTAGCTGCTAGAAGAGATTTCAATTTTTAATTTTAGAGGAAAAAAAACTAAAGATAGCGCTATACACATGCTTATTTTTACTTCTTACACATATTTGTTAATTTTTCGCCATTGATGGTTTTCAATTCATTCAATCTGAAGCTAAAAATTGAAAAAGATGTTCGAGAAGTAAAAATTATACGTGGATAGTACTCTGAAATGGTGGACGCGAATCTATCTAACCAAATAGGACCTTTATTTATGTCCGCGGTATAGGAGCGTTGAATGCCATCCGGATTCCTGACAGCGTTTGAAAGCACAAGCTTACAACGTGCACAAGCTGTATTTCTTGCAAACTGGATTGGGGTGGGCCCATGGGAGGGACACCTCCTTTTTATTTATAGGATTCAAATTATTCCAACAAAAGTAATTTCCCAAAAACAAAAATAAAAACCCTAACAAATAATTGAATTTAACGACACAAAAACATTCCAAATTATATGAATGATTTTGGCCTGAAAGAATACTAGGATTTCATTTCATGTAATTTTGTTCGCCTTTTGTGGCACCCAAACCGTGATAGACTAATTATACCCTTTAAGAGACTAAACAAAATAGATGGAAATTTTAATTTTAACCCCAACGGGTCAGTCTAGTGAGAAGCAAATAAATGTTTGGAACGGTTAATTCGAGTTCGCACTCTCACACATGTATTTTTTTGATGTCACTGGCTATGTTTTGACATATTATTTAACTTGGAGCAAAAAAATACATTGACGCCTCATGTGACACTTGACTGCATAAAAAGGGATTAGTTTGCCATTATTATGTGGTGGGATACCTCCTATACTAAATTGCAATAAGCACATGTATCATGGCGAGCGTTCATTATTCAAAATATATGGTAAATTAGATGTTAGATTCACAACCTATATAAAATGTTAAGGGCTTATAAGCGAGAAAAGAACGATATTACATTATAAAATGTGTCAAGTGACTTAAGTGGACAAAAAATTGGATAAAATAGTTTGAATATTAGTAGGGATGAAATTAGCAATTTTTAATGAATTTAGGGACTTATTTTACCGAAAAAATAATTCAAGGACCTAATTTTCACTAAGGTGATAGTTTAGAGACTAAATCGGCACTTCACTCTTGATTTTGTAATTGTTTTTAAAGAAGTCATACATGGAGTCAATTTTAATATGTATGATTTAAAGATTCGGCGAGGATTTTTTTTGAACGTTTTTATGTTTTTAGAAAAGAAAAAAGAAAGATGAAGCAAATGGCACCAATGACATTCTTTTGTGTGACGGTCTACACCAGTGGAAAATTTAGGAAAAATTATTTTTGGGGATTTGGAGGGGGAGGGGGCTCATTAAAATAGCACTCATCGCGCAAAATATTATGGACAAAATAGCATGCAAATTTTCCAATGAGCCATTTTATAAAGCGCTTGGTGGGCATGAGGTCATTTTTCCAAGAAATATTGCAAATGCTGTTAGCAAATGTTAACAGTTTCCAAGCAAGTATGTCGATTGATGTCAATAGATTTTGAAAGGCATATCAACATATGCCGACATATGAAGAGTGAGTCTATCGACAAATGGCCGTAGCAACGCATGCAAATGGATGAGGATGGTAGTTACGTCCAAAAAAACTTTAGTTTTAATGAAAAATGACAAATAAAGGTGTAGTGAATAGTCCAGGGAAAGGTAAAAATGTGGTTTTTTGTTAAAAATTAACAGTATCAGAACTGTTTCGTTAAAACTCGTTTTTTTTTTTTTTGTGTTGGGAGGGGGGAGGGTTCATCTGACCATAGCTACGCGATGTTACTAACTAACGTGTTAAAACATAAATGAACAACATGTTCTGGATACTATTTATATATAGATACACATCTTATAATTTAGAACAGCAATTGATTAGTAATACCATCGCGTAAATGCCAGACTGAAAACTTCTCAGCTTCAACAACTAAAGCGTACAAATTAGTACACGTCTGTTTTTTTATGTAGGTTTCATTAAAATAGAATTATATATGTGAACATGATTGTCATACGCGGATTGTATGAGTGTATGACCATGACCAATTTGAAAGAAAAATGCCTAAAAGCACATGGTTTACTCTCAAATTTTTAATCATCTAACAGTCATTTAGCTGTCAAATGACAGCCAACAGTGCAACATACGACACTCCAGTCTCGATATCAATGTGCTTTCCTTCTGGTTCTACCCTTTATATAAGCAAAAGCACCCACCAAAAAGCACAAGCAAAAACCCAAAGCCAAAACGAAAGCAAAAGTTTCCCACCCCTAAACACAATGGATGAAGAGGAAAACGTGTCGCCGCCCTTTTGGCTCCAAGCCTCCGACTCTTTCCGGCAATCCAACCATCGCCGCCGCCTCGGCCGCTCCTCCTCGTCTCTCTTCTTCAGCTCCGGCGCTTTCATTTTCGCCTTGCTTGCTGTAGCTGTTGTGTTTATTTTCTTCATAATCCCATCAATTTTGTCCTTCACTTCTCAAATTTTCAGACCGCATTTGGTGAAAAAAAGTTGGGATTCTCTCAATCTCGTCCTCGTACTCTTCGCAATTGTTTGTGGATTTCTGAGCAGAGGCATCGGCAACGACAACAACGTTAGCAGTCCCACGTCGTACGATGCTTCTTCTTCACAAAAATTTGAGAAGTTAAACCCATCAACCCCACGTCAGTGGTACGATCAGTATTCCGATCGGATGGCCTATAGTGAAACCACTGGTGCTAGTACGATGAACAGACGAGTGAGGACCAGCAGCTCGTACCCGGATCTACGCCAACAGGAATCTTCGTGGAATGTGGTTAGGGATGAACGGTGGCGATCCTACGACGATACCCATGTGGCCGGTTATCGGGTTTCGGATTCAGATCAGCAGCATCAGGTCCACCGCCGTCACCGGTCGTGGCATGAAGAACCGGCACAGTTTCTAGCACGCGAAGAACCGTTTCTAGCACAAGAACAAGTAGGACGTGTAACATGGACCAAGAACATACCAGTGGACACTTTTGTGATCCGTACGGAGCAAGTTAGTTCTTCACACTCACAATTCCGGCTAATCAATCCGATCCTCAGCCGCCATCTCCGCAGCGGACACAGTCTCCGCCACCTCCTCCGCTGCCGCGCAAGACAAGGAGGACGTACCAAGCTATTGGAGAGAAAGAAAAATCCAAATGCTAGTGACAATTTGGAAGTGAAGAAAAACTTGCCCCCACCGCCTGCTCCGCCGTTACCTCCTCCATCACCACCGCTGTGGATGTCGAAGGAGGTTGAGAACAAGAAAACGTCAGCCGGGAAATATGCGAAGAAGAAGGGAGTTGCTACCACTAAAGAGTTCTTGATCACGTCATTAAGGAGGAATAAGAAGAAGCAGAGACAAAAGAGCGTCGAAAATTTTGAGACTCTCCTCGCTTCTGCTTCTTCGGCTTCTTTGTCTTTACTTCCGCCGCCCTCACCTCCTCCTCCTCCGCCACCTCTACCGCCGCCTTCGGTTTTTCACAACTTGTTTTCTTCAAAGAAATCCAACAAACCCAAGAAAATTATTCACTCAATTCCACAACCACCATCGCCGCCGCCGCCGCGGCGGACCACTTCCACCGCGCGTTTATCGAAAACCAAAGCCCAAGTTTGGCCCACGACGACGACCCAAAAACCACTACAGCCAGTCAAGGTTAGTAGGTTCAGCAATGCGGATGATGAGAATGCTAACAGTGGTGGGGAGTCGCCATTGATTGGAATACCGCCGCCGCCGCCGCTACCGCCATTTAGAATGCCGGTTACGAAATACAAGGTGCACGGGGACTTTGTTAGGATCAAAAGCAACGACAGTTCACGCAGCGGCTCGCCGGATTTGGACGACAGTGATCAGGATTCAGTTCCATCGCCCACCACGGAAGCTGCTAGTAGAACTCCACTGGAGAGCGGAGAGTCGCCGACGAAAGCTATGTTCTGTCCGAGCCCGGACGTAAACACCAAAGCTGATACCTTCATTGCAAGGTTCAGAGCTGGTTTGAAGTTGGAGAAGATGAATTCTGTGAGGGCAAGGTCCAATCTAGGCCCACATTCAAGTGAAGGAGAAGAAGGCCCAAGTTACTAAAACTGATTGCATGCAATTGGGATGTCACGATGATGCGGTATACTGATAACCTAAACTAATTATCTATAGTCATGCGGAAAAGTTAAAATACATACAAGTTGGAATTGGTTAAGTATACTGTGGTGTAGCGGTAACCTAAACCAATCATCTATAGACGTTACTTACGAACGCGTGAGAAAGTTAAAATACAAAACAATGTGAGATTGGCCGAAGACATTGTGGTTGAGGATTGTAGAGATAGAAACGTTGATTTGAGTTGTTTATGAGTTTTTGAGGAATTATACAGAGGTGTATAGGATTTATTTATTTATTTTTAATGGTTGGTGGTTAGAAAATTTCTTTTATTTAATTTTCTTAATTAATACATAGTAGGGGACTAAGTGGAGTGCGTTGTTCATCAGATCAGGGTGTGTGTGTGAGTATTGGAATTTGGATTTCATGTAATTGCCAGAATTTTAATGGGATTCAAGATTTGATACCAATTTTTATACTATTTTTTTTTTCTGAATTAATTCGCTGTTTCCCATACAATTTGTGTGGTTTTGTCGTGTACGTGCATGCCTGTAAGTTTGTAACTCTGAAGTTGCCAACCTCATCTAATTAGATACAAATATTGATTCTTAATTTTGAGAAAAACTTGCATACAATAGGGTATTGTTGATCTTAAAAACTATTAAGTTTATGTGCCGCAATGATCAAGTAATTAAGAGCTAATTACGTCTTTTTGGATGAGGATCCTTACATCCTGTCTGTTCACTGTATATCGTCCGGTCAGTTTTCGTTAGGTACTATTTGTGTTTAATTTTAAATAAAAAAATTCAAATGATTTCTAGTCGCACGATGTATAATGAACGGATAAAATGTGAGGATCCCTAGGATCTTCACAAATTAAATCCAGATGAGATCCAAATCCATCTGTTTATTGGTGGATGCAGGTGTGCATGGATGGAGCCAAAAAGGATTTTCAGTGGGGGCAATTTTAAATGATGAAATTAAAAATTGAAATTCGATACAATGTTATGAACTTATTATCTAACTACGTACATGTTTTGCGTAACTGGTGTTTAGAACATTAACGAAAAAAGTTACATGACTAGAAATGGTGAAAGAGTAGAAAAAGTATAGAACGTGAGAGTGTAATTTATATTTTAGTTGGAGTCATTTTTCATCGCAAAAGAAGTTGATCGGGAGCAATTGCCCCGAGTAGGCATATGCTGCATCCGTCCATGCAGGTGCGTCAACTTGCCACTCAGGTAAATCGGGCGAATCGAAACGATTGATTACTTAAACCATAACTGATAAGTGAAATCAATCCAAATCGGGCCACGTATTTTCTCTAAGTTGAATTCGACATTTGTGTTCGATCTACTATACTTCGTAATAGTTTAAACTCGTTGAACTAATGGAATTTGGAAATTGGAAATTGGAAACCAACAAACTTCATATGGATTCCATCGGCACTGGACAGCTGGATGACAAAACTAATTGTGGATGCTTTCTGAATGAAGACTAAGGCTCCCATGATTTGAGGCGTAGTTTAGGGAAAAAAAAGTAGTATACATTATTGAATAGATAACCAGTTTACGTGTTATACATAACAGACGACAAATTTGTCTAATAAAAAAAATATCAAATTCATACTGTAACATTGGTTATACCACGTGATACCGCATTCTACAACAATTTTGCGGGTTTTAAATATAAAATTAAGTACACTAAGAAATGTTCAAGCATATGCACTATGAATATGCTATTGATGTACATATTTGATGTCAATGACGAAGATGGTAACTTGCAGAGGTGGTTTGTAGGGAGGGCGGCTATAAGTCATCTATTTCCAAGTTTTCAGTATAATTTTCTTGCTTTTCAAAGAAGAAACAATGCAAATTGTGGTTTTTAAAGCAAGAAAAATTGCCACCGAAATTAGACCCATATTTTGTTCTAGAGAACATTGGTCAACAAATGCATGCATAGCAAGTTGCATCTATATGTACATACGTATGTATATTATTTTTATATGTATATATAATTATATAAAAGTAGTAAGCTCCAAGTGAAGGAAACTTAGAAATTCAACAACAAAATCTTTTGTTTTTTGGTTTGATTGCAATATCTTAGTCTTGACCCAAAAAAAAGGAACCTGTTCAAAGTATTACATGCCAAGTTGACATTTTCTTTTTTATACAAGGATATTGGAGGTGAGGATTTGGGCTAACCACAAAATGGGTTATTATAATTTGGTATTGAATTAATCATTCTTGAGAGTCGGATTCAAGACTTCACACTTACAAATAGAAAGAAATATCACTAGATTGTAGTGCTAGTCAGTGACGGATCACGGATCTAGGAAATAATATTGGGGGGGGGGGGCAGAAATAGCATGCATATCGTCATTTCATCGAGTTTTGGTAGGCCTAAAGTCATTTGGAAAGGCATACTACACACTTGTTAATGCCTCATTTGCGTGGGTTACTAACATGTTCTAAGGCTGCTTCCATATGAATGCTTAACAAAGAAACACACTTATCTTGAACACACTTACAATGTTTGATATCATTGCATCCCATTAATATGTTTGTCCAAGAATGATATTCACTGAGATCACCATTTCATTCACTCTTCTTTCAGACATTTTATCAAATAGTTAGAGGGTATGTATGAAGCTAATTCTAATCTTCAAAAGGACAGCACCCACAATATCTATGGACATTCACCAAAATTCGAAGGGTCAGCTGACCCCCTGCCCCTCAATGCATCTGCCACTGGTGCTAGTTGCTAACAAGGTTGTAAAAGGTGCAAGGAGCTAGTCGAGCTACAAGTAGGAGCCTAGTGCCTATGCATCTAAGTGGGGCCTAGGCGGTTTTTTAAATTCTAATTTGATTTATTATATAAACACATAAATAAATGCCAGCATATAAAACAATGGAACTGTTATTAGCACTCCACAAATCTCATACACTCCTCAAATGTATTTTTCTTTCTAATTATATAAAATTTAGAGTGCAAATACATAATTGTATTGTGATAGATAAATTGGAAAACAGAATGACACATAAATTATAAAGTATTTGAATATATTGAAAACATGGGGAACAAATATATAATGATTAATGAATGTTTATCTAAGTATTCCAGTCTCTTATATTTCATTAAAAAAATAAAATGTAAAATGAAAGTTATTGTTTCTATCTAAGTAAGAGTCACAACCTAGACAAGTGTCTAGGCGGCTTATAATTCATTAAAAAAATAAAATGTAAAATGAAAGTTATTGTTTCTATCTAAGAGTCACAACCTAGACAAGTGCCTAGGCGGGTAGACAGGCACCTAGGTAGGTTTATGCACTCTTTCTTAATTTTCAAACGCTTGGAGTTTAATCGGGGTGATGGTCGGCCGCCTAGAGCCTAAGCAGCGTTAGGCGAGAATTTTAGAACAGTGGTTGCTTAAATTCTCAAGCAGTGCATATTATTGTTAAACAAGTTGTACCAATATCTGATCAAAAGAAATGTTTCCAATTTGACATATTTAAGATACAAATTACACAAGTGACAAACAATCATTTCTTGCCTGCTAGTTCTCTGACTTGCCCTTCAAGGCATTGCTCCTGCCTCGTGTGTTCAACCCACCTCGCCTTGATTCGGACTTGCGCAATGCTTTGCTCCAAAGTCAAGGAAATTGCAGGATGCGCCCTGCTAGCGAAAAATTCTTCGACCTCATCAGCCTTTTCGTTGCTGCAAAGCTGTCAACGAAGATTCGATAAGTAACACAAAGCGGCCGTTAAAAGCAGCAAGTGTACCGTGTTCTACAAGGTATAATTGCCTACCAGTTTTAAGGACAGAAATCTTTCTACTTACCGGTGTCACAGTGTCTCTTACGAAACGGGTGAGCAGCATCCCAGCGCCATATTTGGTCAGGATCAGGTCCCAATTCTCCTGCATTCATAACCGAAAAAAGTTAAACTCTCCAATTCCATGTGACTTTCACAATGCCAATTATACCGATTCCATGTTCATCTAAATCGTGTTTCCGAGAATTAATGGAACCCGTACCTTTAACCACTTCCACGCTGTTTCGCGGCATTCTAAACTTATACCAACAAGTCCATATACAATGTCTTGATCTCGAACCTGAAAATAAAATTTGAGATGAAGTAGGTGTAAACTGGCAATGGAAGTGCAGCTGCTGTAGACCACAATTTAGTACTGCGAATAAATACCTCTTCGGATAAAAAAAAGTTCAGAACCTCCACAACTGTATCTGGGTCTGGAGAAGATGCAAAAAAACCTGTACAGGGTTAAATTGTAAAGGAAAGATTCCAAGTTACTTTCGCTTAGACAATAGACGGAAAATAGGAGAATGCCAGAAAATGAAACGCATTTCAATCTTACGTAGAATCCTTTCCTTCTCTTGCACTGTATTTGCTTCTCTGTAAACATTTAGTAGGGACTCAAAACCTTCTCTATTGGAGCTGCTAGCATTCCTCATCACGGCAATGTAAGCAGCCTGCAGGACAGTGTTCAAACTTCTGCCTGTTAGCTTTGAAACTTAATAAGGATGAGGAAGCGATACACATGGTAAGATTTATTACCCCTCTCGTATCAGCTGAAAGAAGTGGAGTGTTTCTATCGTTCAATAATGTCTGAAATCGGTCTAATGCTTCTTTTTGAGTTTTGTCATGGCCAAACGTAACCAAAGCTTGCAAGATTTCTGCTCTCAGAAGTGCACTGAAGTGACTCTCTCCTGGTACCGAATCCCAACCAAGTTTTCTGTATGCATACATTCAAATATATTATGTTAGCGTTAAACTCTTCTTTGCAATCCTAATTAAAGTATTACTGCATGATCGCGAGGAGACTGCAAAACATCACAACATACAATGTTCATTTTAGGAAAGGAAAAGAGAGAGAGGAACCAATTTTATTGGTATCAGAATCACAATCGCAAGCCAAAGTACAACTCATTCAATAAGGTAAAAGGAAAAAAATGTATTCCCATACTAATAATGAGTGTTCTTACTCTGCTGGAAACAGGAGGAGACTAATGAAAAACTTTTTCAACTCATTTGCCGAATCTGGGATGGCCTCACTTGAAATATTAACGACATTATAACAAACCTGCAGTTGCATATACAACGCAAAAGGTAGTGCCACGATAAATAGTTGGTGGTGCTACTGATATTCACCAAGACAAAAGTTTATGTGCTTACATCTATCAATTTTGTTACGACAATATACTCTTCTTCTTTTCTGTATGCATCCATCAAGGAAAGCAAAGATGAAAGTGATTGTTCACAAGCTTCACAAAGAGCATATGCATCGTCCAGAATGCCTGAAATATGAGACTTGGAGTTATATATCGTTGAATTATGAGTGGTTTATAATGGCCCAAAATCAAGTAAACAATCTGAAAAACGAAGCCACATAATAAAAACAATCTGAAAGTGATAAATGGAACACACCGAATTTGTCTGTTGCTTCTAAGCTCTTATGCTTAATAGCCTTCCTAAGCCGAGCTGCAAGCTTATCTTCATAATTGACCCTATAGAAACCGCTGTGCTCGATGTTAACCTTGATCCACGGTTGTTCATCATATTTCTCTTTATTCTTTAAGGAATCGACAAGATCTGATACGTTCAATTCTCTGGACTTTGTTTCCAAAAGGAAATTCTCGCGCCTCTCATACGAACCAACTGAAAAAGTTATTGGAACGATCCATTTCCCACCACCATGCAAACCGGATGACAGGAACTGTGTCTGGAAAACAAAAACTTCATTAGATTTCTGCAGATAACATGATTTTGGCGTTGAGTATTAGTAGTACCTGCTCAAATTCCAAAATATTCTCTTTGGATTTTACTGAGATAACAGGATATCCTTTTTTCTTTGTCCAACCATCCATCATTTCACTGACTTTGACACCAGATTCCTCCGAAAGAACACTCCATAAATCTTCTGTCTTCGCATTTTTGCCAGAATATCTTTTCATGTAGGAACTTAATGATTTCTGATTGGATAATGAAACGCCACAGTACATAAACAAACTGAAATATGTTAACAAATTCGCTGATTGCAGAGAGTAAATTGACAATGAACTGCAAACTAGAATGTCTTCATAACAAGAACTATTCCATTTCTTGTCTTTGCCTTTCAGTCCTTTTTGTTCAAAACACTATATATTGTAGTTTTCATATGTTTATTTTTATCTTGAGAGAACAAAATTGTTTGGTACTGGGATTTGGATTGCGCATGGAATTGCAGAAAACCATCTAGGATTGCAAGGCTTAATTTCAAGCGGTGCATTTGGTGATAAAATTAAGAAGAGTACTTCCGCATATGGTATTCACCGTGAAAACTTGGGGTACAGTATGAAAGGTAATCTCACTGGGGGGACATCAGTTTTGTACCTGGAATATGTCATCCCCGAGATAAACCTGCAGCATTCGGATAACAGCAGATCCCTTTTTATAGCTGATATCATCAAAGACTTCAAGAATTGAGCGAGCATGTCCTATCTCCACCTGAAATTATGCCAACCAGCAGATAAATATGCTGCATAGAGCAGTTTACGTGATCTCTCCACCCCACCAACACCCTTCTCCCCCAACCCCACCCCCCCCCCCCAAACAAAACAAAAAAAATCTGAATTGTTAAAATGTATATTGATTTTGCTCCTGGAGTGAGCATGTTCTGTAGCTGATATCATTGCTCATTGACTTCCTTGGTTCCTCCTGCTCCATATACATTGACACACATGTTTGAACTTCACTTGACGGAGTCCAGTGCATTTTTCACAAACTCTAACCACATTATTGTTTATACTTTTGTTCAGTTGTCACACTACTGATTTAATTATCTCAGGTGCCTGCAAAGATGCTCCGTTCTTTGGTTGATGCTACAGATGATACAGGAGAAAGCTTTTTATGGCGGTTCTTACTTTTAATGACCGCCATATCTCTGATTAAGCAGTTTTCACCTGAGCAATAGTATCAAATGATGTTTACCTGAATTGGATGTGACTGCTCCAGTGCATCCTTAACTAGGCCGCCACTAGTTTCTTGAAGAAATTGAGCCCATATTTTCCACTCGGGAAATAAAATATCTGTGGCCATATAACTTACCTGGAAATATAAGAACAAACAGGCACACAAAAATCAGATAATTATCTCTGGTGTAATGCCATCATGTTGGAAAGGTATAGAGAGCTGAATGGCCGGAAATTACCCATGTCGCAAAACCCTCATTAAGCCACAAATCGGACCACCATTCCATTGTCACCAGGTTGCCAAACCACTGATGTGCTACTTCATGCGCTACAACAATTGCCATCTAACAGAATAAGAAAAGGGTTACAGATATTTCATCAGACTTTTCAGAGGAGCATTTTACAACTGCAAAAGTGAGACAAAGCTTAAAGCAGAACTAGAAATTAGACTTACTCTCTGCTTCCTTGCTGTTGTGGAATGCAAAGGATCGTAAAGCAGTTCATTTTCACGGTACGTGATCAAACCATAATTCTCCATTGCCCCACCAGAAAATTCAGGAACTGCAACCATATCGAGTTTGGGGAGAGGGTACGGCGTTGAAAAGTATCTAGATGTAACGATCACTAGGTTAAATAAAATTAGCACAACAGAAAAACAGAAAAAAAATAATACAAAACTTACTTGGAGAAAAGATCGAGCGTCTTAACAGCGACATTTAGAGCAAACTCTCCTTTGTCACTCTTCCCAACAGGGCAATATGCACGAACCAGTACCCCTGCAGACAAAATTTAAGTAATCTCTAAAACGAATTCTGTTGCATAATCGAACAAAGTCTTCGCCTTTGCATACCATCGGATGTTGTGTCTTCAATATAATCGAATACGCCAACAACAACAGCCACTAAATAAGTTGACATGATAGGAGACTCCTCAAAATAAACAGTCTTAACATTTGCATCAAGCTTCTCATTGGTAATTGGCATATTGGACAAAGCTGTCAGCTCCAGTGGTACATCTACTGCTATCTTGAATGTGGCCTGAGTCAAAACAATAAAGAAGAGTTTTCGGGTTTAAGCAAAATTTATGTGACTGTTTTATCAAGGAATTTATGCGTACCTTGAGGGCAGGTTCGTCCCAACAAGGAAAGCACCGCCGTGCATCCACAGGTTCGAATTGAGTAACTGCCATATTCTTCTTCTCTCCTCCATCCAAATAAGTGCTGGTAAAAGTGTCAGATTCTTCATTAAAATCCTTGTTTGGTGACAATGAAAAGTTCTTATAAGTTATCTACAACTCATTTAAATTTTCTTACCATTTATAGAACCCTTTCAAGTGCGCGTTAAGGACTGCAGAAAACTTAATCCCCAAAACTCCTTCACCAACACCAAGTGCTTGATCAAACACCAGAACAAGAGATTCATCATCACCGTCCAAAACAACATCACACGGGCGGTAAAGCTGCAAATGAAGATACTAAAAAACCCAACAAAACGAAAATCCAATAAAATCAGATCATTGTCGATCAAGAATTAGTTACTTGGCCATGAGAGCTGGTGAACAGAACTTCATGAACATCAAGTTCAAGAGCGTTCAAGAGAAGAAACTTGGTCTCTTCGACTATGCTAACGTGAATCTCCACAACGCCGGAGAAGGCGCATGCTGACGAGAGATCAAGCTTGAGATGAAGATCGTAGCGTTTCGGAATTGCAAAATTTGGCAACCTTGCGTGGCCCTTGAATCCTTGAATGCTTTGCTTCTGCTCCATCTCAGTGCGTGGTGAAGTCAAGTGTTTACCAAGGGAGGAGTTGGAGATATACTTCGAGTGGTGATCGGCGAAAAACGTTCAGTACACGTTTCCTTGCATTTGTCTTGAATCCAGCCGATAATGACAGGTACTTGCTGTGCTGATCCTCTTTGTGGATTCCGAATCATGAATTAATCGTTTTCATTGTTTTCGTTCATTGTACATTATATGATCAGAAATCATTCAAAACTTAAAATTAAATATAAATAGTACGTAAAGAAAACTCATCGTAAGATATACAATAAACGAGCATAGTTGATTGATCTTCAGATCTAGGATTCAGAGAAAATCATTTTCCCTTTCAGCAAACTCCTTGTCATGAATGGGCTAAAGTGACGGACTTTATTGTCTTCTTGTATATATTATGATAGTCAAAGGAAAAAAGCCATTATTTAAATAATAAGAGTTGTTATTCCCACCTCAATTTATCTTTCTATTCATTTAGACGATTTATCTCTCTTAAACCCTAACTCCTCATTCCCATCTCCTTTTATTCAGAGAAAGCAAAAAGAATGAACTTAGAAGATGACGTTTCTATGGCAGAAGTAGATGATTATGTTTCCATCAAAGATGTAAAAGAATAATTTTATGTGTGAGTAATTTTAATTTGTCGCCATCGTACAATTGAACTTGTATAGCTCTGTGGTTTTTTATTTGAATTTTCATACCTTTATTGCTATGATTTTATATTTAACTTTTGCGTACGTTATTATGATTAGTAGTAGGGTAGGGTGCAATTTGTTTCACGTTTCATATGCGTATTCCTAGATATGGTTTTCTTGAGTAAGCTCGATTTTCAATCTTGACCAAACCTGTTTTTATTGGATTGCTGACAACTTATAAGGGGCCTAAGAAAATAAAAGATAATAGGTAAACCATCTTATAAACGGCTCAATCTAAATCTAGCATTTTCCAAGTGGTTGGTAGCTCAAGGTTGATCAAATTACACACCACCAGAACATGGGTGAGCCACATTTGCGGAGGCCAGGGGTTCGGGTTCGAGAGAGAGCTCTAGAGTTCTGGAAGCAAATGGAAGACTCCGATTTTTCCCTTCCCACGGTGAACAACAAGTATCATCAGGCTGAAGATTGGAAGACTCCGGTTTTTTATTTCTGCTGGCTTTTAGAAGAGAGTAATATTATTTGTTTATATTCTTTTTTTAAGAGATAAGTTATAATTATATATATATCTATACAATTATTAAGAGTACCCTCCTTGTCAAAATTTTGCCACTTTTTTCCAATTTTGCCCTCATTTTTTATAAATAATACTTACATAAAGAGGGCAAAATAGTAATTTTGTATCTTTTGCCCCTTTTTTCCTATTTTGCCCTCACTTTTGATACACAATACTTACATAAGGAGGGTAAAATAATAATTTTATATCTTTTGAAAAAATAACAATCATATCCCTATTTTTCATATTTTACCCTCACTTTTGATACACAATATTTACATAAGGAGGATAAAATAGTAATTATGTAATATTAAGATAAAATGTGCACTTATTAAGAGAAATTGTCCCACAATCATTTTTTCATACTCTTTTTAAAATTTTAAAAACTAATCACACTCCTTAATAAATAAATAAAATGAATTTTTCACACACACACACACACACACACACACACACATATATATATATATATATATTAAGGGTTATTTTAGGAATAATAGTGGGTGGGGAAATAAGATAACGAGGTGGGTCTAGCAGCTCTCTAAATAATTCATATAACATTTATATATAACAAAATATATAGATATATATTTATTTATCTCCCCAACTTTTTAAAAAATAAAAAGACCATGCAGTGGGTGGCTTAAAAAAAAGGGAACTTTAATGAAAAACTCCCGATATTGTTCACTTTAACGAAAAATCATATTTTTACACTAAAAAGTCAATCCTAATACTATTCACTTTATCCTTTATTTTGTCTTTATCGTTAAAACTTAAAATTTTCGAACTATTTTCATTAATTTTCCTAATTAAAAACCAGGTTCCACTCCACCTCTCTCACATTCCCCAACGTGGAGCCCAGACCAAAACCACATTTTGGCCCATTGGAAAGTGAAAATACAATTCCCATTAAGCCCCTTCATTTCTTCTTTTTCATTAACCCTTTCAGAAACTCAAACTAAATCTGCAACTCACGTCGTCATGGATTAGAATGTCAAGTAGTCTCTCTCTCTCTCTATGTACTTTCTCTTCCCTCATCTGCTCATAGACGGCAAGCTTCAGAAGCTCACCGAGGCTCTGCTTGTACGTACAATATCGGAAGTTGCTGATTTGTTGCGAGAGTTGAAGTGAGTTTGGGATTTGCAGCCGCCTTGATTGCCGCCTAGACCACTTAGAACGCCTAACGAGCGCCTAGGCAGCTGTCTAAATCCTCCTCGCCTTAAGTGAACGTTTTGGCCCAAATCGAGTTAGGGCTCTATTGCCCAGCGTCTAGGCGGCCGCCTATGCTGATTTTTAGAACGCTAGACATGAACACGATTCGGTTTACAAAATGTAATATTACAATTGATTGAATACTTGAAATTACTTGATGTATTTGACCGTGTTCCCCATATTACTTGCGAACGTGCCTTTGGATGGGTGAAATAAAAGATTATGGAAAATAATATATAAAGAAGTTGAAGTGAGGTTTTTTCAAAATAAATAAAAATAGAAAAAGAATTTAAAAGAGTGAATTGGGAATTGAAAACTTGGACCATCTAAAATATTCCTTGGGAGAAAACATGCATGAATCTCTTCAAGGTTTGGAATTAAAGTAACGAATTGAAGATTAAAACACAAAGAAAATTTCGCCAATTCACACAAAAGTACAAGTAGAACCTTCGAAACTTACCAAACTTTCACTATGTTATTCAGTTTGCATAAACGGTTTGTTCAGTAAAACCAAACACAAGCAAAAAAATGTTTATTTATTTATTTATTAATGGAATTATTAACCATTAGATTTCGTTTACCCTTCGTTTAAAATCAACTCTCTCTTCTTCTTGTTTTTTTTTTTTCATTTTTTTTTTGAAAAACACCATGCCAAAACATGGTGAAACATTTATTGCAACAACACAAACTTACAACCAAGGCCCAAAACAAATACACAAAGCAAAACGGGGCCAACCAAACACACCAAAACAAGGCCAACCAAAAGTTGGAACCGAAGAAAACAGGAACCTAGAAACACCGCTGGAACCACCGCCGCAACCAACGCTGCCACAGCAGTGCTTGTCGATCCGCCCAAAGCCCATCTCCCAAGGTCTTCACTTTTCACTCAGTTTTACTTTCACTTCCCCTCTATTGACCCTGACACCCTCTCTCCCTCCCTCTCTCAACTCAGTTTGCAACTTCTCCGAGCACACCACGCTACTCTGACGTCGTACAAGCTTCTCCTCTTGCAATTCTCTGTCGAATCTGCAATTTCATCATCGAATCCTCCGTTGAATCCATAGAAGAATGTAATTTCAGTTTACCAAACCGATCAAAAACGGATTTTATTTCGGTTTTACCAATTTTCAGTAAACCTAAAATTTTGGTTCAGTTTTGTTTTTGCTTCTTATTCCCAAATACTTCGGTTTCGATTTTCGGTAACTGGTTTTCGGTTTGGGTACCAAACGGAAACCCAAACCGAAATCCAGCCCTAGTTATGAGCATATAAATGTTTTCTAGAGAAACAATCTCAAACGGGCAGAAAGAAACTCACCATGAAGAAAACTATTCGAATGACAAGTAACTCATACAAAAATTGGCGATGCTGCCTCAGAATTGTTCTCCTGAGTTGTACAAACAAACAAACCAAAATAGTTGCTCAACCTAAAACCGTTGAGGAACCGAACAAAAAAAGTGAACACAAAGACTCAACCAATTCCTATTAACCAAATAACAATAACATAAGACTACATGATTACTTGAGCAGATCACACTCAGCAACTAATTCTTCGGCGCCTTGCTCAACAAGTACTTCTTCAAAACATCCATCACAGACCCAAAATCCGCCTTCACTTGCACCGGCGGGTTAGCATACTTGCAAGCCAAATCCTTGATATCATTTGAATGATAATCAATCTTCGACTGCGTGAATTTCAGCCCGTGAGCCGTGCTCACCACCACAGTCCGGTCGTTAGTGCCTATGATCCCTTGGTTCCGAAGCTTAATCAATGCAGCCAATGCCACACCAGTGTGAGGGCATATGAACATGCCGGTGGAGTCTGCTTGAGCCATGGCATCCATCAACTCCTGCTCAGTGGCTTCCTCCACAATCCCATTCGACTTCTTCAGCGCATACACGGCTCTGTCTATCGAAACAGGATCGCCTATTTGAATTGCGGACGCAAACGTGGTGTTCGCCTTCACGGGCTTGAACTCTTGATCCCACCCCGACTTGTAATGCAAGTACAGCGGGTTCGCATTTGCAGCTTGGGCACAAACGAGCCTAGGAATCCTATCGACTAGTCCCAACTCTTTGCACATATGAAATCCTTTGTAGAAAGCATATATGTTACCCAAATTTCCCCCTGGAACTATGACCCAATCCGGCACTTCCCAATCAAACTGCTGCAAAATCTCAATTGCAGCGGTTTTCTGACCCTCTAATCTCAAACTGTTCAAAGAATTAGCCAAATAAATCGGCAGCTCCGCTGTGACTTCTCGAATCAACTGCATACACCCATCGAAATCAGTATCAATGCTCAGAACAAAGGCCCCATTGGCAATGGGCTGAACCAGCTGAGCCAGAGATATCCGATTCGCTGGTAGAAACACAATCGATGGTATCCCAGCTGCGGCGCAGTAGGCTGATAAGGCGGCGGATGTGTCTCCAGTGGAGGCACAGCCCACGCCGACCACTGGGCGGTTCATTTTCCTCAGCCGGTTCACTTGGCTGACCAAAACAGTCATACCCAAGTCCTTAAAACTTCCAGTGTGGCTGATCCCACAGTGTTTGACCCACAAATCGTTCATGGCCAGAATCTGTTTGCCATAACGCTCAGCCCAGAAGAGATTGGAGTTACCTTCAAAAGCGGAGACAATGTCGTCGCTGTCGATCTCGGGTAGGACCCACTCCTTCTTGCTCCAAACGCCGGAGCCGTAGGGCCAGGTGGTCTTGCCGACGCGGGAGTCGAAGAGGTCGCGCCAGTACTTGCCGTCGTAGTTTTTGAGGGCGGCCATGTCGTGCTGGACGTCAAGGAGGCCGCCGGAGTTGGACCGGTAGACTATCTCGTCGAGGGAGTAGGACTCGGCGGCGGCGGCGGAAGATGGGTCGGCGTTGAAGGGAACGTAACGGGCGGAGAAGTGGTGGGAGTGGGTGGTGTTGTGACGGCGAGCCTCGTCGCGAATGTTGTGGTGAGGGTGCTCGGAGGAGGAGGAGGGAGGAGGGGTGGAGGTGGAGACGCATTTGATGGTGGTGGCGAAATGGGGTTTGGTTGGAGGGTGGCGGGAAGCGGGGTTTTGGGGTTTGAGGGAGAGAGGGGGAGATTGGAAGAGAGAGGAAGATGCCATTGTTGAAGAATGTGAGAGAGAAAGTGTGTGGAAATGGGAGTGGGGGCTTCGGTGGCTGGTTGGTTTGTGTTATATAACTGGGTCAGGACTCGGGACTCGGGACTCGGGACTCGGGAGATTATCGTTTTAAATGGGGAAGGTTTAAAAGAAAGAAAAAAAATCTAACTACATTTTGCAGAAATTAATACAAATGTTATCATAATACTCCTTAAATTAGAAAATATAATTTGAATTTCACCCAAAAAAAAAGTATGATTTAAATAACTTTTTCCTTTCTAAAAAGCTCCTCCCAAGTCAAATCTCAAGTAGAATGTCATGCAATTTCAAAGATGAAGAAACTTCAACCGATGTCTCAATACTACGTGGATAGACATGAACTTTTTGCTGTCAAATTTGACATATGAGAAAAGGTGTTATCATGCTCCGACCTTAAGATACGTCTAGAATCAACACATGACGTCGAGACGTAGCAGACAAATACCAACAATCAGTTAGATTCCGTACTTCAATAATATACATATATAAGCACTTGTAAGCCAATTCAGTAGTCTCACAAAGTGAAGTAGCAGTAACAACCTATAGTCCAATAGCATAGTATCTTTTCGTTTACTTTATGACTGCATCTAATCTTTGTGTTAGACTGTCTATGTATCCTATCACGAAATCAAACCATCCATAGTTCACACTTTTGTTAAACTCCAACATTTCTCATAAACTTATAGCCAAAAAACATAGGGTTCCAAAATCACTCAATGGACTTTACGAGCATGACTCACTAGATTTTATACTACTTAACGAACCATATAATAACTAGGACTGTCATTTTGTTTTTCACATCTCACAATGCTTTCCAACCACAGTTTCACATTCACAACAAGTAATCGATTCCATGAATCAAAGATGCATCATATTAACATTTAACTACATTAATTAACTGACAAGATCAATTATCACTTCACTAATTTTAAGAAAGACAACCTCCATAAAGTTTGTCATATTGCCTTATCTGAAATCCAAAGCAATAACATTGTAACCCTAAGTTACAAACACAAACATAAACTTAAGCAACTTCTATGCACAATAATCTATGGTTTTGGATCTCTTAACGAAACTGAATTAGGAAAGGAATTTCGGACCACTCAACGGAATCTGACGAAGATAAGGTTCAGACCACTCAACGGAATCTAACAAACTTAAGGTTTCAGACCACTCAACCGAATGAAATAGAGATAGTTCTAGACCACTCAACAGAATCCATCTCTAGAATGCTGATTAACCAGGCAGGACCACGTATAACATAATTTGACCAAGTAGGCAGTGACCCACCAATGTAGATTAACTAGACGAAGTCACCCTAGAATGTGTATGGTCCCCCAATGCAAATTAACCAGACATAACCACCTATGGAAGTAAGTAACTGAGTAGGTAGTGACCCCCAATGCGGATTAACCAGGCGTAGTCCTAGAATGTGTATTGGTAGGCATGCCTCCAATAGTGTGGTTCCCCAATGAGGATTAATTAGGCGAAACTATCTATGAAAATAATGTAACCAACTAGAGAGGTAGTGACCCCCAATGCAGATTAACCAGGAAAAGTCACCCCTAAAATGCATATAATCCCCAAGGATTAACCAGGCAGAGTCACCCTTAAAATGCATATAGTCCACAATCGGGATTAACCAGGCAAAGCCATAAGCATGCACCTATATAATAGTATTGTCCCCCAATGCAAATTAACCAGGCAGGACCATCCATAAAAAGAGGATTAAATGACCATTTTGCCCCTAAGTTTAGTGCCTCGTAAAACGTTTGTTACAACTCCATTTCTCGACCAACTTTTGCCTACATGTTCGTGATGTCGAGCTCTATCTAAACATACTTGGTGTGACTCCAAAAGGTCTACCAACTTTTAATGACTAATTACATGAAATCAAACTTTGTAACTAGTCAACTAAGATTCTAAAATTACGAAAAAATAATAACAATTTCCCGAAAATACGAAGTACCAAAAATTGAACAGTGAAATTCAACAATAGTATTTCATAGGTGCTATCAATTATTTTATTGGGTGGGTCCAATTAATGCACCAATTATAAATCTTGAAGAAAAAATAATCTTTTTAAAAGGGCTTTTTTTACTAGCACCCCACATAATGTGAGTGCCTTAACCTTGCACACACCTTCAAGGTAATAGGAATGGTGAAATTATAAGACTTTTCATTATTGCCTCTTGACTCAGATAACATGTTATGGAAGAGATACAAGGTATCTTCCCATTGATTATCTCTACAATAGCCACAGAGCGTGTCATTCAAGAGAGAGACAGTTAAGTGAGGTGTTTCGTCAAACACCTTGTAGGTATGACTGAGTGACTCATATGATTTATAAGTGTGCCTATTGATCTCTATTCCTCACTCAACATTACATTAAAATACCTCTTAGTAATCGTATACTGGCTATGACGCATAATGACCTTATATAGAGCCTCTAAAATTTGAAACTTCTCTGCACACCCAATTAGTTAATATTGTCAAATAACCTAATAGACTCTTGAACAATGACAGCCTTACCGTAGCCCTCCTTAACGACTATGTTCTATGTTTTTTTATACTAGGACCAAAACAATGTCGTTTCGGTCTAGTTATTTTAAGAATAAAACGTAGAAAAAGTAGTGAAGCATAAAACACAGAAGCAGCGAAGTAGCGTAGCAGAATTCGACGACAGTTTAAAGGACCATAGAGGCGAAATCCTCACTCTCAGTGACGATTTTTGGCGACCGAAGGGGTGGCCACCCTTCCTTGTCCCCATATAACTACGCCCATGTTAACATGAGGTAAAAGTTCATATTTTTCATTGTTTTAGTGATTTCAACGATATTGGCATGCTTATAGATGCATTATAAGTGATATCCCTTAAAAAATATGGTTGATGATGAGGATCACACACGTACTAAACCCTTGGCATATTTATTTAAAGAAGAGAAACAGATTTCTCTTCTTTAAAAGTGACAAATCCAAAACCTTGATAATGTATCTTGTTCTCCCTTTGAGCTAAAATGACTATGGCATCTTTCACCGGCCTAAATTCTTTTTCGAAAAACTTGCCCAACGAATATGCTTCACGAAGTAACATATGAAAATTACCTCATCTAGAGAAATAGAGTTAAACATATATGTAAACAAATCGTTGATAAATTCTTGAGTATTCAACTTAAATCCTTTTGTATGAAAGTTTCTTAGAGTGGTAAGATTAACCAGAGTCCACTGAAGGAGGATGTCCTCCCACGAAGATGCGGTTGAGTGCTAATGCTTTAGCAACAGGAGAATGATTCTGGGCTGCTCCCTGCGTCACTTTCAAATGCTCATCCACACACTGTGCATAAAACACTTATATTTCTAGGATGCACAAACAGTATAGAAACTTGAGAACATACTAACAAATTAAGGACATACCCAAACACAAGCACTTGCATGCATGCTCACACGCCCGCATACGAGCACATACCTTTAACGTACCTTTCGGTAGCGGTGTCTTCATCTTAAATGGTTAAAAGTGCTTCGCAGGTGCTTGAGAAAGCCTTATTGAACTCTTCAACAAGCATGGCATTTATGTTGATCGGTGTCTGTAATATCGGATTGTAGTTCCTTTCAGTTGATCTAATAATTCAAAACCCAGCATCATCCTCTTTTGAGCAAAAATCATATTCCTCATCTACTGACGCCGAATACTCAAAGCGTTCCATCTCTTTCCATGGGACGAATAGGATCAAACAATTGAAGGGATGGAGAAATATAATGTGATGGAGAAATATGATGGGATAAACACATGCAAATAGGAACAAACAATTGTTGGCATCACATCGTCCAGATATTAAGTGATGTAGGACGGTAGTATTTAGGACATGCAAGGATAGAGGAATAGAAGAGATCCAGGCTCACTCCAGCCTTTGGCATCCATCAGACCAAAGTTGTATTAGAATCACTCCAATAGAGAAATTAGAAAAATTCTGCACCGAAGGTGCCTTGGATGACTTTATGTATTTGCACACGTAAGTGTGAAGAGTGTGAAGTGTTTGTAGAAAATGTGGTGTGTATTAGAAAATGTAAGGTGTATGGTGAGAGTGTGCTGTATGAGGGTATTATGAGAAAGTATGTAGAAAATGCAGGGTGTAATTAGAAATTGTAAGGTATATGGTGAGAGCGTGAAATATGAAGGTATTATTGAAATTATGTGAGGTGTCCCTTTGTCAAAATGGCCCCGACTGATAAGGTGAACTCCTCGACAACGGAAGCGTCGAATTCAGTAAGCTTGGCTGCCCTTCTCGTACTTGGCCTTTGCCCCTTGGGATGAACACGTGAATAGCCTAACATGTAAATAGCCTACTCTGAGACTATCATAGTGGTAGCACGGCTAAACTTCTCCGACGAGCATTTTTTACCTAAGAAAACACTTCTACATGTGATAAATAAGTTGTCGACTAGCATTTTTTTTAACCAAATAAAACACTTACACATGGACCATATCTTACTAGAGTTTTGTAATCTCGCCTACTATTTCTACATAATGAGACATGAGATAGACGAGCATTATCATCCTTATGAGCCGCAGGCCTTGCTTGGTATGTCAGTATGAGACCATGGATTGTCATTGTCTAGTTGGATAAATTCATAAATTAGCAAATTTTCATCTTTACGAGTAGCAATCGTTGCTTGATTCGGATCGTTAAAATATATTACAAAGTAAGCTTCACAAAAATTTATGTCAAAATTTGGGTAGAAGAAGTGGTGTCATGGATCTGGCTTCATTCACAAATTCAACGGCTACAAATAAAGACTATTCTAAAAATTATAATAATTATAATCATTGAATCAAATTTTAACGATTCGAATCATTTAATCCTTAGACTCAAATTTTTTAAGTTCGGTGAGGATCGGGTTCAAGAAAAAGCTAACTGCCGAACTTTAATTTAAGCTAATAAATATTAGGGGAGTGTGGGAGGGGGACCCACCAACGCTCATAAAATAGGTTTTTCTTCTTTTTTTTCTTTTCTTTTTCTGAAACGGATAGGATCGCACAAATTACCGGTTCTTAACCCTCCGCCTAAAATAAAACCCGCCATATTACCGGTCACCAATTCTTTATTTCTCCATTTCTCTTTCTCTCTGTTTTCTCTCACTGACTGCCTCTCCTCTTCTGTTTGGTGCCCATCGGAACCCTAGCTTGCTCCGGCGAGCTTCTCCGGCTACCGATGATCTCTCTTCCGGTAAGGTTCTCCGATAAGCTTCGCTCGTTTTTTATCTGAAAATGTTGGATGCATTCGGAGCGGTTCTTGTCCGATCCAAGACCTGGTTTCACAGGAGGAAAAAAACCCTGATCCGTTGAAATTCGATCCTCTTTTTCGTCATGAAATTTATCGAATCTGTATCATATTTGAAGGCTTCGTCTTTGTAAAGCTCGCAAAATTAGTTTTTTTTTTTTCTTTGGTTTCGATTTGTAAATTTGTGTACATATAGTTGAAACTGAGGAACTTCGTGCGAGATTGGAGGAGATTAGGGATTTGAGTGGTGAAATTTGGGGGGGTGATTGGGGTCTGGGTTTGATCAATTTTGGGGAATTTGAGTCGTAGAGAAGGTGGCTAAGATGAATTTGAGCTCCGCCGAGGAAGAATCGGCGCATGAAGTTCGTATTCCTGCAGAAATTGATTGGCAGATGCTTGATAAATCCAAGTTCTTCGTCCTTGGCGCCGCGCTGTTTTCCGGCGTTTCAGCGTCTCTTTACCCTGTTGTGGTGTTGAAAACCCGGCAACAAGTAGCTCAATCCCAAGTCTCGTGCATCAAGACCGCTCTTTCGATTGTTAGGCATGATGGAATTAGGGCGTTGTATAGAGGATTTGGGACATCTTTGATGGGTACAATACCTGCCCGGGCGCTATACATGGCGGCGCTTGAGGTCACTAAGAGTAAAGTCGGAACTGCCACAATTAGGTTAGGGTTCTCGGAGTCTGCTGCTGCCACCATTGCCAATGCCACTGCAGGGTTGAGTGCATCAATGGCTTCACAGCTTGTGTGGACTCCAATTGATGTTGTGAGTCAGAGATTGATGGTGCAAGGTGGTGTGAAGTCAAATCCCAAAGTTCCTAGTGCATCTGATTGTAAATATGTTAACGGGATCGATGCATTTAGGAAAATCATGAAGACGGATGGGCCAAGAGGATTGTATAGAGGGTTTGGGCTATCGATTGTGACATATGCACCGTCAAGTGCAATTTGGTGGGCATCTTACTCTGTTGCTCAAAGAACAGTTTGGGATGGAGTTGGGTATTACCTTTGTAAAAAAGGTGACTTGAGCAATGAGAATGGAGTCAACACATATACACCAGGTTCGAAAACAGTCATGGCAGTTCAGGGAGTCAGTGCAGCCATGGCGGGTGGCATGTCAGCCCTGATCACAATGCCCTTCGATACAGTTAAGACAAGGCTGCAAGTTTTGGATGGGGAGGAAAACGGGCGCCGTGGACCAACAATTGGACAGACTATTCGGAATCTGGTTAAGGAGGGTGGGTGGACGGCTTGTTACAGAGGATTGGGGCCGCGTTGGGCTTCAATGTCAATCTCTGCAACAACAATGATCACCACCTACGAGTTTCTGAAACGGTTCTCCACGAAGAATCAAGAGGTATTGACATGATAAAATCAGCAGAGAAACAGATGTTTGATCGATCATAGGTCTAATTCTATTTAATTTTATCTTAAGTTGTTTCTGTTTTTCCTTTATATTATTAACCTGCACACTTGGTTGATCAAATGTAATACAATGCAGGCTTTCCTGTATACGTTAAATATCTTATTTCAATCAATAGTGTGTCGTTCACTAGCGAAAATATGGATGCTAATGTGCCTTATTGATCTCTTAATTTATGCTATGAGATTCAACGCTTAGTCAAGTTGGTTAGGGCTAAGCTGGTTAGTACTCTCGTCTCCGTATCTAAGTTTGAATCTCTTCGTTCTTATAAAAAAAAATTAAAAAAAAATTATACCTATAGTGTTTTCAAGATTGCTTGGATTCAAAAATTGAGTAGAAGTCATCAACTAATTTATTATTTCCGGTTGAGATTAGAAGATTAGGTAAAGTAGGAGACAATCCGCGAATTTGGATCCTCCGAAGCTTAACGGCCATGAAACTCGAGCTTTTGTTTTGTCTAAGAGAGATCAGAACCCTTGATTTGTGTGAGATGAGTTGGCGAAATGAGTTAATGAGAATCGTCGGATTTAATTTGATTGGTTTGGATTGCTAATCTTTAGATTCTGAATAGTGAGATCCGAAGAAGATCTCGTACAGAATCCGCACCCTTATGTTAATAATTGTTCGATTGATGTTATGTCTCGACCATATCCCCCAACCGATCTCTGTTTTCTTTTCTTAATATTTGTAAATAATTAAAAGCACATGCTAGTTAGTGGAGGAAAGTTGAGACACTAATTTTGGAATTTTGGATGTGATTAGTTTTGGATAAAGGCTAAATATATAAAATGATGGGGCTCCACACCTAACTTTTGAAGTGATGTGGGATCATGGGGGAGTACAATTCAAGGTTTTAACTAATCTGTGGACCTTGTATCTATAATCCCTTTTTACTTAAGCACAACGATACATATACATTAAGAGTGAAATTTAAACAATTATTATCGACCCATCATAACTTTTACATTTATTGATTTGGGACACTACTTAACTTCTTACTTTTAACAAGCAATTCCTCTTTACGTAACGATGTGATATCATTTTGCTGACGTCAAAATTCAAACATTCATTCTCTTCATCATCATCTCATGTTCACTTTTAAAAAATCTCTTTGAATTTTGAGATTACACAACTAATCATTAACCTCAATAACTCCTTACACTGTTATTATAACTGTCTATTTGTTCGGCAATATGAATTGTTAAGCAGCCTCTTTGAATTAACAATTTTTTTTTCCTGAAGAATTAAATATGATATTTGAACAAAATTAAAGAAAATAAACAATTCTAATTATAATAATTATATGCTGAAGTAATATCACGTGAATATAAAAAGAAATAACCCCTCGCATTGTAAAATGTAAACGTATTATTATTACTTAGTAGAAAGAGATTTTGACATGAGCACAAACAAAGTGAGACGGCCAACTTGGTTTTAGCCTTGTTTATATCAACATTCGGATTTGGACGAATCTTTTCAAACGTGGACCAACTTGGTTTAACCTGTAACCTAATTTTAAATCAACATCCGGATTCGAATGGTTATGCGGACCCACGTGGCTGCAGGATTTCCTAGTTATTGAGGTTTATGATTTCATTTGGAGATTTATGATTTTGGCAAGTGGTAGTTTTATATATATCACAAATCAAACATCATTATAGTTGGGACGCCTTTATGTAAGGGGGTACTATTACATATCTTTTTTTATTTTTTACATTTTTTTTTTCAATTTTATGTCGTCAAATCGGATAAATTGAAAATAATTAAATGACATAAATTAACATAGGGGATGTGGATAGCATCATCCTTGTACAATGTTCATAATCTATTTTGCATGATATGTAAAGAATTCTATTGGTAGTTTGAGTGAGCTATATATAGGATCAAGCAGCCTGAATCTAGTAACTATATATAACATGATTTGATAAAATGCGTAGAGTATGAGTAATATGATTGATTGGTTGGTTTGAGACCAAGATTTTAAAGACGTTAGATGCTAGTCGGGCAATGGGCTGGGGTCTAATCGGGATTTAAATAAATATATTCTATTATTAAATTATATAAATAAATGCATATTTACAAATTACATATATACTTGTATTGAGAATAAAATAAAGATAAAATGCAATAAAAGCCAATAAGCTCAGTAAGAAAAATTAACAAATTACAAATATAAAAACAATATTAACAACCGATTTAATTTAACAAATTCCTTGTGGTAGGCTACGCGTTACCCAATTTTACTTACGTAGTTAATTAAAAAAAAATTGAACCATCTAGGTCACCTAGATTGCCTAACCCCTTCATGGATTTAGTGATCGTTTTGCCTAAAATCACCACGCCGCTCAATGTCTAGACGCGACCTAGGCTGATTTTTAGAATACTGGGACCCCTTGCTTGATTTTGAATACTTATATTTATGAAGTTCATATAAGCCATGTCAAACTCTGCTCATTGATTGTTGTTTTTCTTTGAGAAAGTATTGTCAAACTTTCTTTGATATTACAATAAAATATCTCTATAATGATATCTATATAGGAATAACCTTCTTCTGGTCTGCTTTCAAAATATTTCATCTAGTCATAAAAAATTTCAATCCCAACTTCGGCCAATTATATAGAGGAATAAATATCACAATGTAATAAGTTATAATTTTTCTAGTTCTCATCTTAAGAAACTTGTCTCCATACAGTAATAATTGTCAATAAGTTCAAAATTATACAATGTCACAAATAAAAATTTAAGACAAAATAAAACATTTCTCTAAAATTTAAGACAAAATAAATCATTATCTAGGATAATGATTTATTCTTTGAAGTTGATATTATGTCTTTGAGCATGTGGGTACATAATAATCATCAACATGACATTGTGTTCTTAAACCTAAAATGTTTGTAACTTCTCAACCATGTTTACAGCTTATTAGCATATTTTAGGCATTAAAAAGAGCACTACATATGCATGTATTAGTTAATATAGAGGCTGGGTTTTCTCTTTTTTCAATGTTTACGTCTTGAAAATTGACATGCTCACTGCTCATGCAGATATTTGTATCCATAAAGCTTTCATTAGATAACTAAATAAAATAAATAGATTTTGTAACGACACCTCTATTAAGTAATAGACTTCTTGTTATGGCTTATTTAATTTGACAAGAGAGAGAGGGGAGGCGCAGCATGCGTTATTCCTCCTACGCAATGTATTTATTTATAGTCACCAATAAATACAAGTCCTAGTATGGAAGAATAACTAGTATAAAATCTAATTTAGGATTTACATAACCCCACTTTAATACAATGTTTATAACACTCCCCTTTTAGTGTGTAAATACTCAAGTAGATTCAACATCATGTAGAGTTGAGGAAGTTGACTTGTCGGCACTGATTCTGGGAACACGCTAGTCTCAACAAAGAAGGAACTTGCATATGGAACTAAGTCTCACAAAAAACCCAATGGCTATGGTAAAACCCAAGTAGGGACAAAACCTATAGTCTAAGGAAAAGTACATGAGAAATACAAAGTCAAATAAAACGTCTACGGGACATCATCAGAGATATGATCAACCCAAGGTGGGTGTCTCGTCAAAACCTCGTTAGGTAGCAAAAACCCAAAGGAAAAAAAAAATGCTCCTAATCGTAGGAAAAAAGAATACATTAAGATCAAGCAAGTATAGTTCAGGATACTCCCCCTAAGTTTAACATAATTCCAAAGAGAACTAACAATGTTACAACTTAGAAAGTTTACGAATACCTATTACTTGAACAAGCTTCTTAAACATCGCATTCGGTAGTGATTTGGTGAAGAGGTTTGCCAGGTTGTCTTGTGAACGAATTTGCATGACTTCAATCTTCTAATGCTCATTTTGTAGATGTGACAAGAACTTCGGCGTAATGTTCTTGGTGTTGTTTCCTTTGATGTGACCGTTCTTGAGCTGTTTGATACATGTTGCGTTATCTTCATAGATCGTCGTGAGGATATCAATGACGGGGTAAAGATTGCAAGAGCTTTGAATATGGCCCACAACTGCTCTTAGCTAGAAGCATTCCCGAGTAATTTCATGTAAAACGAGTATTTCAGTTAGACGAAGCGGCAACTAAGTTATTTTTGGTTGACCTCCAAGATATTACAGTGCCTCCAACGGTAAAGACGTAACCCGTTTGTGAGCTCACTTTGTGCGGGTCAGATAAGTAACCTTCGTTGGCATAACCAACAAGGCAGGAATCAACTCAAGAACCAAAGGAGTTGCTGCATCACTTGAGGATCCGTAGGGATAGAACATGCACAGATCTGTCTTACTCTTAAGGTAACGAAAGATGTCTTTAACACCAGTCCAGTGTTTGTGTGTCGGTGTATTATTGTATCTTACCAAAAGATTAACAGTGAAGGAGATTATGATTGCTTTTAACACTCCATGCCAGCCAACAATTTTTCTGAAGTAATGTATAACCATATTGAAGCATCCATAGTCTCTTCTCTCACTATAACCACATCCAAGGCCATACACTTCAAGAGCAAGTACGGGCACATTGACATCACCTCATGTTAATAATATAACATCATATAAGGAAAAACTTACAGGTGTCGATCATTGGCAAAGGATCTATGTATCTTTGCCATGAAAATCCTCCATACACCGGACTTGCTGAGAATCACATTAGGACGTGATGCTCCCCTCGATTCCGTACTACATGTGGATTAATAACACACTGGCGACGTAACGTAATGCAGTAAGTGATGTAAATAAAGTATTCAAAACACTAAAATTACTTGGATAAATATATGAAAAGAGTGACAAATGTTTCATAGCAACAAACAAATCAAAAATCTATCGCTAAAGTAGTAGCCTGGAATGGAAAGCACGTTCAGGAAGAGAGCCAGTAGCAGCAAACTATGACAGCAGCGTTACAACAAATAGTCTTAAACAGATCGGATTTTCTAGAATAAAACCATCGGGAGCGTTTAAAATTAATCAGGCCGGGCTCTCTTGTTGCTGCATGAAGGGCACTTGTACTGCTTAATCTGTTTTGCCCTTGCGGGGGTCATCTTCACGCACTTCATGTGGAACCACGTCTCACAAAAATCACAGAAAATCCAGGGTTCGTCCAGTGAGGACGGTCCTCCTCCACCACATGCCCCACATGTCTCTTCACGTTCATC